GTTGTCTGACCCAGAGAGGCCGCAAAAATTCCGTTTGTTGTCTTATCCAAAAGGCGATCTCGAGCGAGTGGACGGACGCTAGGAAGACCGAGAAAGGCTTACATAAAGGTATTCGAAAGGTGAGGTGTAGACTATCATCTCCCCATTCCATAGACAAGCAGGTGAGATTCATCAGCCCGAACGTCGTTGCGTTGTCTAGATCGCTTAAGGACACGGCTGAGCCGCGGTTGGAGACCTTGTGGAGAGGAATCAGATGAAGCTTATGTGAGCCGAGGGCAAGATAGCATCCAGTGGGGGACAGTTTGGTAAGATCTTCTGAGGATGTCCGCGCCGGAGACTTGCTGGAAGCCATCTGAATGACACGGAAAATGCGACAGGTCTCCGGATCATAGTCTCTTTCGTATTCAAGCATCCTTACGACATATTCGATCGATCGCTGGTCGAAAGGCAGAGGGTTGCCCTGTCGAATTAACTCGGCTGCAGAACGAATTCCAACCATCCACAGGTTGAGTTCCTGCAGATCAGGCGTCTGCATTTGGATGAAGGCTGCTTTGTGAGCCCGCTCATCTAGGTATGCCACCTCCACCGTAGAGGCGGGCTTCCCATCGTCCAGCATGTACACGGCGACAATGCTATTCAGCGGGATTCCCGCAGCAGAATCGCTCGTAGCGGAGAGTTGTGGATCCCCTAACGAACTGATCGAGGTAATGGACTGGCGATTGCTCGGACCGGACCGGGCAAAGGAGGGCGGGATTGAAGGAAACATGTCCGCTGCCTTACTTTGGCTCTTGAGCCGGACGAGATGGGTATCGGTCAGGACGAGATACTGGCTCTTTTTCCTCCACATGCCTCCGGTGGTTTGAATCTCCCCATGATGTAAGATCACACACCCGATGCCTTGTCGAGAATCGGACGCCTCGTCATCGTCCATGGATGGCGAAACTTTCGAACGACCTAGCGACCGGTCCTCGTCCTCGAACGAGTGAAACGATCGAAGAGATCCAAAGACGGAGGCCCGTTTCTTTTGCATCGACTTCCGTCGCGGACGAGGCGCCTCGAAAACCCCATTAGGCGTCATTGCTGCGTATGCAGCGGCGTTCGTGTCGGCTGTTCCGGGGCGCCAAAGGCCATGGCTTGGCCCGGGCGGACTAGGGTTTCGGCCACCAAAGAAGCCCGAATTGCGCCGTTTCTTCTTCACCACCTGGGCATCATCGGATGGAGATCGATCATGGGTACCGAAGCCGGATAGAGACGAGGTCGTCGACGGGCTGAACACACTCAGGCTTTTCCTCCGCTCTTTCTTCCCCAGACTGCTGTCAGCCATGACGGGGAGAGGGGAGAGGGAAACTACGGGGGTAAAAGGAGGAGACACGTAAGTGAAGCAAGCTAAAAAAGAGCGACGTTGGGAGAAAGAGGAATTATCACATCGACGACCTCAATGCCGTTTCTCACTAAATTGCAGAAACCCCGAAAAGGCAGGATTGGTTAGTTATCATCGGATGATACGAGTGGAATGGCATGCTGCAATACAAGTCAAGGCGATCGAAACCAGGATTCAACTAGTGAAAAGTAGAAAGGTGGAGAAGACCGCAGGAGAACAAATAAGGAGAGAGCGTTAAAGCGACGGGGAGGGAGGTGGAACATACAGTAGACCGTCAAGATGCCATGAGAAACGACTGTTTGAGCTGTGAGGAGGGGAGGAGGATGAAGAAGAAGAAGACAACGACGATGTTCACAGGCAACGATCGGAGTGAGGGTGATAATAAAGATAAGAGAATAAAGAATTTGCGAGACAGCCGGCGACCAAAAAGGTAAGACAACGTCAAACCCCCCCAGTAGTATAGCGATTGTTTAGGGTAACGGAACCCACCACCGACGTTACAGGGGGAGGTGGGAGCAAGAGGATTCAATGCCAATCCCAAGGGGAAAAAAAAAAAAAAAAAAGAAAGAAAGAAAAAGAGAGGTAGTAGAGTATGTGGAAGGTTACAATGATGCCAGGAACTCAAGCACGACACATCAGTCACTTCCAATGGATGAACGAGGAGGGGGGAGGGGGTAAGAAAAGACCGGAAGAGGCAATATTGAGGCCGAATGCAGAGCAAAACAACGAGCGACTTTTGGGACGACAGGCGGACGGGAAACCAAAGCGGAAGGCCCGCAACAAAAATTTGGAAAGCTTAAGAAAGCGATTGTTGGGTCGGGAGGAGACGTGGGAATTGGGAAGAAGTTCCTGGCGATAATCTGGAGAAAATGAGATCAGAAGTGCAGATCGGATGGAATTGATTCGGTCCAACGACCGGGACGTAACCAAAGAGTCGGGCGGGGACCCAAATGATGTCACTCGTCTTTTTGGCTGCAAACGAAATTCTTCTTCTTCTTCTTCTTCTTCTTCTTCTTTCTTTTTCTTTTTCTTTTTTTCTTTTTTTTTTTTATTCAAATCTCTTCTTGCTTGTTGATATCCTTAGGGGGGAACAAAAGAATAGGTTTGATAGTGAGAATTTTCCTGCAATGTAAAAGCAAGCACACGGGTGGGGAGAGGCAAAAGGTACAAAGTAAACTAGAGTAAAATTAGGGTCAATTGAAATTATTGATTACTATTAGACTGATCTTCTACCCAAGAAGTAAAATAAAAAAGGGAGTCAGGGGGGAAGAAAAGACACAGTACAGCAGAGGGAAGAGGAAAACAAAAAAAAGAAAAAAAGAAAGAAAGAAAATAAAAAAGGGATATGATATGGATCCATAAAAATAATAATAATAAATAAAAAAAAGTACTTTTCAGGTCTGAATGTGGGGGACAAAAAAGGGGAATCACCCAATCACATCCATCTCCCTCCCCATACAGACAGCTCAATCCCCAATTAAATTCAAGGATCATCAGGTAATAGAACAACTTCAACGACCTCTCCGTATGATACATTCATTTAAACGGTGAGCGACGACAATCAGCCCATGAACGGTGCAGCTGTCATTCTCTATCGACATAGGAACTCATGCAAGAGGTTTCCAATTCCAATCATTATGTTTAAAGCCATCATCGGGTCATTCTAGACCCTAGTAGGTCACCACCTTCACAGATGGACAGATGCCATCCTGGATCTAGGTACATAATAAGTACGGAGTGTTCCGTACTATATCTTAATCTCCTGCCCTTATAGACCACCTAACCCTTCCTATCTATTTTTAATTACTTGATTCTCCCCCATTTATCTGATTCTGGGTCGTTCTTCTGTTTCAGCGCGCCCCAGATATGGAGCCTTCCAGGCGATCCTCCTCCGCCTTGAGACGTCTTCGAGAAGCCGATCCCCAGCGCGTCACGACGAGCCGGCGCTGAAGCCTTCGCGACTAAGGCTCCACTCGCCCCAGTTGCCTGCATTGTTCTCGACTCCTCCGCCAAGTGAGGCTGCAGTTGTCCTAGTACCTATGTATGTTCTTACGGTACTCCGTACGTACATACCACGGAGCGGGGAGAGGGTGGTTTTCCTAGTGCGACGGTCGTTCAAATTTCGGTCTTTCTACGTATCTATGCCCTGACACTTATTTTGCCTCTGAACTTTTCCTGGCACCCCCACTTTAATTCCTTCAATCGAGGTCAGCTTCTGGTTCACAGTGGGTACAGAAAAGTCAAAGCTATACGTTCCGTCCAATAATGCATACAATTACTTAGTCTCTTGGCGATCCGGATGGATGCTCATCAAACTCGCTCTCGGGAGACGAGTTCGATTCGGCAGTCTACACTTCGGAAGATCCTCTTGTCTCGACTCCACCGCGGCTTCTCGCGTGTTCTTGTAGCAGGTCGTCCACGCAAATGAGTGTCATTTGTGTGACTGTGTCACCAACGTCCCAGATCACGGTCCTGCATGATGATCTACAGCCGAGTCGCAACACTGGTGCCCGGAGCTTCGTGAACGATCGGGGCCTGTAGAGAAAGAAGAAGAAGTCCAACTCCATACAATATCCGCCAGAACCCTAGACGTCCTCTGTATAAGCTTAACAATGAGACCGACTCCCAAGTCAGCCTAGATGATCTCAGGGGACTAGATCCCTTTTCCTTCCTGTCTGTCAAAAGAAAGCGCACCGTCATTATTCTGCATATCTCGCCGCTCTCTGGGCCTCCAATCGTTCCGCCCGCTTGGTTTTCCTGATGAGGTCGATATAGTCATTCACTCTCCGCTCAGCCCAGATACAACCTCCTAGAGTCATAGCTGCGATCTGGAGAAAAACTTTGTACTGGGGTGTTAGACCCCGATAGATCCGGGAAGCTGGAGATAGCCATTCCGAGAAACCTTCCAGAGGACGATAGAATAGCCTGGACCGGAGGTACTCTTTCGAGAGGAGCGACGATCCTGGTCGGGGCGAGGATTGCGCCTGAGGCTGTGACGGTGCAGGTGGCGTTGCGGAGGGAGAGAATTTGAAAGGATGAGGAAGGATCATGATCATATGCGCTAGGATAGAGACGGAGCCAAACTGCGCGATAGTCCGTTAGTGATTTGCATTACAACCTAGATCCGAGAGATGGATGTCGCAGGACGACCACGGTAGTAGATATCCAAGCTCTGAGAGCGAACAGATCCTGCGGGAAAGAGACTAAGATGTAAATCATGATCTAGCACGTACTCGAAACGCTCCTGTCAGAAATCCTCGAACAGCTTCCGAGGTGATTTCCTCAGGGGGTTCAACATCTTTTCTATGAGTTGACGGCGGCGGCATATTTAACACAAAGTTTGTGGGCAATAAGTCACTAGTAGAGGAGATTAGTGTAGAATTTGGCAATCGTCCACGGTTGTGAGGATTCTGGTTTTTGTGTTGGGGATCGGACGATACGGATGATAGAGAGCATATGCTCCGCGGAATGACGCAGATGGAACCCTCCCCTTCTCCGGATGAAGTGTTCTTCCGAGTCCCCTCGAAATACTCCTCGTAATACGAATACTATACATCGGATTTACTCCGCCCCAAGGAGAAAAATTCCCCATTCGGTAAAACGAAGTAATTGAACTGAGGAAAAGAAAAGCGCAGCGCCGAATCACGGGCTCATTATTATTCATTGTTTTCTTCAGTCTAGACACAAGATTAGAAAAAGATCATATCATTCGAATCCTTGCTCGAACCCTCGATCTAACACTTTTGAACATATCATCCTTCATCAGCACCCCTTCACAATGCCCCTCCCTCAGCGTACAGCGTCCCTCACTAGAATCACCAATGAGACGAAGATTCAAATCTCACTGTCCTTGGATGGAGGCGTCCTCCCTCCCTATGAGCCTACCGAACACTTCCCCGCTCCTGAGGACCCCAAGGAGGCCGAAGCTGCGAAGCAAGGAATTGTCCCTCCCAAAGATGCCCACCATGCGACACAGTTCACCGCAACACAGCAGATCACCGTGAGCACGGGTATTGGCTTCCTCGACCATATGCTGCACGCTCTCGCGAAGCATTCAGGAATGAGTTTGGCCATTAGAGCCAAGGGAGACCTGTACAGTATGTATCGGAACTATTACATGACTATGGTAGTACGGTGACTCATGAATCGATAGTTGATGATCACCACACCACCGAAGACACCTTCCTTGCTCTCGGAGCGGCCTTCACCAAGGCCCTGGGTGCCCGCCAATCTATTGCCCGCTTCGGTCGCGGCGATGCACCTCTCGACGAGGCTCTTTCGTGGGCTGTCATTGATATCTCTAGCCGCCCCTGGGCCGTGATCAACCTTGGTTTTCGTCGTGAAAAAATCGGCGACCTTAGCACGGAGATGATCACACACGGTTTGCAGAGCTTTGCTCAGGAAGCGGGAGTGACTCTTCATGTGTGCTGCACCTACGGTGACAATGATCACCATCGCGCGGAGAGTGCATTCAAAGCCTTGGCTGTGGCTATTCGCACAGCTTGCACCAGGAGGGTGGCCGGTGAAGTCGGTGCAGGAGATATTGTCAGTACCAAGGGTGTGCTGTAAACTATACTAGAAGTTCTTGAGTTCTGGTGGCCGGAGCCAAGTGCTCCAATGTCCCATACGGACAAAAGGAGGGCAAATTTTTTTACAAGATGCCATTGCTTTTCAATATTCAAGAGACGAAGTCATGATGGTGCAAACGTTAAGGGAAAAAAAAACTAGAATCAATTGACGATCATGAATAATGACTCCTATCAAGTAACAACCATGGGCGAAAGAAAAGCATGACGATTGGAAGTGTGGGATGGCTATGAGTACAGAAACGTCCAAATCCACTGTCCAGCAGTGCAGTATTCAGAATCCCGATCAATCGAACTCAAGAGGACTGGACACCCAGCGCTTTCACTGCTTTCTGCCAGTATTCTTTCCGCTTATCAGTAACCTGAGTCTGCACACACTCGGTGATATAGCGCTCCCAACCCGCCTCTGAGCCGGCATGCAACGCACTGCGCACATCTGCCGTGCATTGCGTGGTCAGGAACCAGGCTCCAGAGCCAAAATCCCACTCCGGATTGTCAACCAACTTGTCAAGGGTTTGAGCCGCATCGGTGGAAACTGCCACATTAAGTGACTCTGCATATTTGGAGTTGAAAGCCGGTGATTGCATGTTCCGAGCTAACCGTTGAGTCCCATGTCAGTTACTTCTCCCATCTCTCCACGGGAACTGGCTGGGGGTTACCTACTTCCTTGTCCTGGTACGCCAGGACTCTTGTTCCTATTATATAGGAATTCTACGCTCTCCAAAGCCATCAAACTAATCACGGCCGCCTGCTCAGCAGGGCTTGTGACCTGGTACTTGTCAAACGACTTGGCAATATTCGTGGCCACTTGTTCCGCATCGGCGCACTCAGTAGGAGCATTCTTATCAGCGCGATTTGCGCAGGATTGCGCGGAACTTGGTGCAATGGCTATGATTTGCTGGGCCGTGATGTTAGTGCCCTCCGAATGGACATCTCGTCCTGTAATTAGGACTGGCACTGCACTAGCCAGCACAGGCAAGAGGAGATACAGTGTATTGGCAAAAAAAACTGGCTTCATGATGACGGCTCTCACTGAGTGATGCGAGTTCAACCAATGTGGATACAAGAAAGACAGACGGTGTCAAAATATTCAATTATTGGTTATTTAGATATCGTGAACCTGCACCGATATCATACACACGCACAGAAAACGGAAAGAAAAAGAATAAAAGAATAAAAGATTGCTTTCAAACTCAGGAAACGAAAAGGAGATAGGTATAAGCTGAAGAAGAAGAAGAAGAAGAAAAAGAAGGTAGAGAATGACTGGAATCTAGGAAGCTTTTATAGCACTACTAGTACTTGGACATACCTGACGGTGGAGGGGCAACATACCGAAGGATTCTCACACCAGTCCAGTGGCATGGCAGGAATGTCGATGCCTCAAGTGGAAAGTCCCGTTCGTTGCATGGGCCTTGAATGCAGAGGCACACCGAAAGTCGGCGGCGATTGGCAGATCAAATTCCCAGCTGAAACACACGTCTCAAAGCTTCTCTGTCTTAGCTCAGGAGTTCCTGACCAAAGAGAGCGCGAGAAACAATGGGGCTCTTTCGGGGTCCCTCCTGCAGGACTCCATACGAGTACGACTACTACTAGTAACTAGAACTAAATACTACTTAGTCCGTATTTCGTACTCCGAACTACGGGGTACGTTGATGTAAGTATTCCTTCTACTAACCCTAACTCGAATAACTACCTGTATTGTCCTTCTGTATAGTTATAACTTATTGAACTAAATACTTATTCACCATTGTCTATAATTGTTGGCCAAAGGAACCATGCAACAAAGGATCTTTTCTTCTTTCAGGTTGCCACACGCCCATCAATTATTATTTTATGTCAGTAAATCCAGCTAGCTCCAGGCGTCAGGAACTGGATGACTGGCATGTATCCGTCTACCCATATTGAACGCGGAGAAGGAAAAAAAAAGGTCTATGTGTAAGGGACAAGGGCATATAAAAAGGGTAAGAAAGAGAGAAAATGAAAAAGAAAAGAAAAAAGAATATATGGTAAACAGACAAGTCAGAAACGAAAGGGGCAGAAACCAAGTTTTCAAGGTTGTAAATCAAAACATCGATACAGAATGATACAAGGGTAAGCGACATCGTAGATTGCCTCTCGGGTGCAAATCTCACTCATCTGGCCAAATCATGTACAAGCCACCGAAAAAAAGGGAGAAGGCATAAAAAAAATGCAAAAGGAACCAGTGGCTCAAAGCGCTCCGGTCAAACCCCATCCCAAAACTCCATACATGCACTCCGGACAAAACTCAAAAAATGCGAAAAAATAGTAGAGTGGGGGCGGTACCCCACATGGTAACGCTCGACAGGGACGTTGAGTGTACAGTATAAGTCGTTTCAAGGTGTTTCAATGTGGACAACGCAAATATAAACGCAGATATAAATGGACACGCTCAATCACGACGACTGTAGAGCTCGTATGAGGTTTCAGTGATAGGTCCTGTTTCTTCGTCCTCTTTAAAAGAGACACGGCGCAGCAATGTAGGGGTTGGGCGCCGTGGTCTGCGAGTAGGGGATAGACCGGAAACAGAGATGAATGTTGGAACCTTAGTGTACCGATAACGGTACTTCGAGCCCAACAGAATCAGTCGACCATAAACCCACCACAGGCAGAAGCCAACGGACCCTACCAAGATAAAGCCGCACACGGTGAGGAACATCCAATGTTGCCCCATCCAGAAAATCAACCGTGCGTCTTTACCATGCCAGCTATTGCCGACGTGGTGGGTGAAAAAGCTCCATGAATACTTGTTGTACTCATCCTGCATCAGAATCCGAACCCGCGACGATTCACCCATAGCCTCCTGCATATATTCCTTCCAGATCACCGAAAGGAACAAAGGTCCGGTGGAGTACATCACCGTGATGTATGGAAGCAACCAGCTACGGTCATATGACTGTAAAAGTTCGATCACTCGAAGGAAGAACGGGTGCTGCGGAACAGATCCCATCGCATCATTGGAGATGCCTGTCGGAGCGGTGCGACGTACCCAAGCTGGGTAAGAGAGGAGGGGGTCTAAACGACGGTTGCAGCCCTAACGTACTTCAATTAGCACAGTATTTCTTTTGTCATGTCACTTAAGCGCTCTGTTGTGGTGAACATACGTCATCAAGGTCAATGTATGTGCCGCCATAATGGGCCAGGACAAAGTATCGGATTGAGTCTGCTCGCTGGATAGGATACTTGTAACCATCAAAGGTAGCAAGGAACCATGGGTATTCATGTGCGATGAATTCGCGCGCCTTCTCGTTCGTCCAAAGCTAAGGAGAAGAGCGTCTTAGCATGCGCCATTGCTCGGTATAACAAGGGGGATTGCACTTACAATATACTCATAGTCAGGATGCAAGTCAATGCAACTTTGTTGCGCCTCCCTCCACACTTCGGGAATTGTCTCGTTCTTGTAGGTTTGGTGGATGATCTTAGGGATGATCTGCGGCCGCTGCTCGATCAAACTGGAATTTGGCGAGGGAAGCTCCGCGCGATGGATTGCATCGGCGGAAGCATCTTCCACTAGCAGTGATAGAAGGGTGAAGACACTGCGAACAAGGAAGGATAAAATTAGGAGGTTGACCACGAGGAAGATTAAGACGCCTCTCCGCATGGTGAAAGTAAGAGCCGTTCAATATCACGGCGGCTTCTCAGCTAAAACGGTACAAATAGGTGGCAATGGCCAAATGATCCAAAGCTCTGGTGATAGGTAACCAATTGATATAACCCACAGTCGTAAATTCGTGTCCAACAGCTAGAAAGGAGGTCGAGAGCTCGTAAAGGGATTGAGACAAAGACAAAGCTTGCTCTTGCCCAAACCTGGCAAAACAAGCTGGTACAGCGCGCGGAAAAGAGAACCCTAACAGCAATTACGTCGCAACCATGAGCCTTCCACAAGAGGATTGGGCCCCTGAACGACAATGGCAGTTGAGGGTGATCGTAGAGGTTGAGAAAGCGCAATCAAACCCTTTTTTTTTCTTCTCTCCCGGTTCTGTTAAACTCCCTGGGGTGAAAGAAAAATGCGAGTAACAAAGAAGGATCCGGCCACGAGCCACTCAGTAAAGGAACAATGGTAATTTAAGGAATGAACAAAGTCCTCCAAAGAGTAGTAAGAAAGGGAGGCGGGGGGATTTAGGTATGGGGGCGATGCACAGAGAGAGAGAGAGAGAGAGGCGAATGGTAATTAAAAACGATGTATTGATAGAAAAAAAAAAAAAAAAAAAAAAGGAATGAAGAGGGTTAGTCCTTTTTCTGATTGAAGTAAAAGAATAGTCAGACAAGAAAAGGAACGAACGACGCCCAGCAACGAAGCAGAGACACCAACTAGTAATAATGAGCGGCAGCAGCAGGTGACAGAACGGATAGTTAGTTTGGGGGGGGGAAGGAGAAAGTATGCTTGTGGGCAGTATCTGCTAGGAGCAGGAGACAGTAGGCGGCGGCAAAGCATCAACAACGGTCCATGGTTACTATGGGGGCCACCAGAGCGTCCATCATAGGCTAGGAGATAGTTCAGGATAAGGGGCTCTAGAGTGGAGAGGGAAAGAAAAAAGGACAAGTGGAGACTCACATCCACGACTTGTTTGGGGAAGGTTTAGGTTGGAGCCAAGGCTAAGCCTCCGCCACTTTAAGAGGGCGGCCTCAGGCCCCGTCGCAAGTCTAAAACTACTAGAGGTGTAACTAGATACAGGACTCCGTAAATCAGTCTATTAGCCGAGTTTTATTTATTTGTTTATTTAATTATATATTTTTTCTTGGACACTCGTGAATAACCCCTCCATAAACAAAAAAAAAAAAAACTTTTTCTCTGTCTTTTCCTTTACACAGCTATTCTTCGGGTCAACCATACTAGATTAGCCTAGGTACATACATTATAATGGATCTTTTGGTATGCCATAGTCCTCCTTGCGAGCCTTGGCGAGAATAACCGTAACGGGACTGAGCCATATCAATTTAAAGGCCAACTGGCAGAGCATCCTTCGTAATGTATGCACTATGTACCTGTTTCAGCCAGAGCCACTGCTGATGTCCATTGGGTTAATTAACCTTTTAACTGCTGTGTTCTGAAGAGACTTCCAATCATTGGCAACTTGTCAAGGGTCAGTGTGGCAGTTCCGCTGAGTCGAGGAAAAGATAAGCGTGATTGGCGGTATACGTGTGGGGTCCAAATAGAAAAATCAAAGGAACAAATCAAAATGAACGAGAAGAAACATGGATGACCCCCTTAGCCAAGAAAGGCGATGGTCTGGGTTTTAGCGCTTCGTTTTCTATGCCCGAAAAGGAAGCTTACGCAGGTCACCATTTGTCCCAAAATTCTCCCACTGAGATCTTATGGTCGATTATTTTTGGGACGTGGGTAAGGGATCCATTCATCCAATATCCTCTCTTTCTTTTTCTATTGATCGATAGAATGGCCATGCGCATATACTTCCGTAATGGTGAGGTATGTATTTCCTTTCTATTGTTGTTGCCTGTTTCTTAATCCGAGGAAATGCAAAGGGACGACCATACCGCGGAGAACCTAAACAGTTGAGAAGACTTAATTTTCCCGCGTCAGGTTGATCAGTCTTCCCTTAATATGATCCGTTGGGGATAGTTTACCCTTTGAGTTCCTCTTAACCAATGTAAACTACAATAGCGCCAAATTAATTTTTTGGATTATGGAGTACTCCCTACAGGCTCCTGCTCCTTAAAAAATTGTTTCCCCATTTTAGTAGCTACTGCGAGGTGAGGTCGAGTCAGTCAACAAGGTAACCGTTACTAGCGGAGTGACCATTCGTAATCGTATTTCATCAATGGTTCCATAGGTACTAATTACGGAGTACCCCATCGTTTCTTCTCAACGAGCCCCAGAGAGCAGTCAGGTCATCCTGCAGCGTCCCTATAGTCCCAAAGTTGTATGACACTGCCTCTGCAGCCATGATAGGGTTTACTAAAATTAGGAAAACATACGCGCAGTCAGCCCTGGTTATATAATGGATGTCATTGGAAGTTCAGCAGTGATAACCTGTTCGTCAACAGGAACCTTAAGCCTAGAGACGCGATCCACTTGCCTTTTTTTGCGCGGTAGTTGCCTCAGCCTTCAGGCTCTCAATTACGGCAGATTATGGAAGGTTACCTACCGCCTACTAATACGAGTAGTAGTAAGTGATGTACTCCGTATATTGTACATGTACTCCGTATATAGAATAGGTACAGTGCCTCTGCCTGATTGAAAATTGAACGCTTCCATATCCGACATACATACTTCTTTCTATCTACTCCTATAGTAGCCACTTCACCTCTCCGCAGTACAGTACATTCGATAACAGCGCAAGAATCAATCCCTAGGCAACAACACTTCCTAGCCCAAGACAATTGCGTCAAGGTGGGAATAGCAAAAGCGTCCCATCAACTCAATCTGGTCTCGTTGGTCAAATAGACTGTGGCTCATTACCTTCGACTAGGGGGGATGGTTGGAGAATTTCGCCGATTCGCCGAGACTTTACCCGCCACACATACATGACGAGCGCTTAGGTAGGGATAAAACAAGTGTATGGAAGTACCGCACTGTGCTGTCGGGGGAACCACGAATGATACGCTGGTACGAGTACGAAATCTTCTTGCCCATCTTGCGCCTAATATTTTTTCAGTTCGCTGTTCTTTTCTGGAATGGTTCAGCAGAACGATATCAGATTGATCGGTGGCAGCAAACGCCGATACCGATTGCTCCATAGTTTCCACTCTATATGCGCCAAACCTCTTACGGCCACTGTCTGCTTAGTAGTATCGATGCGTCAAATCTGTTTGACTGACGTTTGACCGTATGCCTCATGCAGTCAGCTCGGTCCATGAAGCAGGGGGTTTGCCTGTCAATAATGCGTTCTATATATGTATGACGGCTACTGCCTGTAGGTTAGTAGTGAGCAGTATGTTAGTGCTTGTTGCTCCACTTAACCATTCCCTTTTCCTTCTCTTCTATTCTATTAGAGATAGAAATATACTGTACGGAGTACCAAGTAGGGTACACCTACTTTTCTTCCTGTCTATTAAAAAAAAAAAAAATTGGGCTCCTTTCTTCTATTCAGTCTCTGCGCTCAGCTAACCATCGGTTCGAAAATAGTCGCCAGAAAGAATTAACGGCGGGCTTTTTGGGGCTTGTGTTGACCCACTTGATCAATTGCGCATGCAGGAGGCGGTGATATCGCCCCCCGGGCGGTCTTCAAATCATACCGAGTTCTCGTTGGTCAAGTGGACCTTTCTAGCGACTGTCAGACGCGTGGACAGAACCATTCAGTCTCCATGGGTCTTTATCTTCTGGAGTGTTTCATTTTTATCTCAAGGAAGAGTTTCCGGCGTCAAGTGGTCTCCAATCCAAGACTTGGGAGCATGAATCTGTGTATTGCCCAAGTACATTGGCAATGATAGTGTCTTGTCGATGGGCAAGAAATCCATACGGATTCCGAACTAAGTTGAATTTCCAACCAACAATCCTGGCACGTGTAACCCCATATCATTGATAACGCCAAGTCGTTGAAAACAGGTACATACCGCCAACAAAAGAGAATAACCCTAACCTTCGGCGCATTTTTACGTTGAGAAATTTGCTCCATCGATTTCATACCAGAAAGATCGCCTCAAAGACTTTCTTGGTTATGTATCATTCTCCTTTTCCGGATACGGATAATCACATATCATTTATCTGTGGTACCTATTCGCGGTACCAATTTCAACCTTCTCCGTAGTTACAGACACACAATGTTACGTGAAAATCTCTCTATAACCACCCCCCACCGCCTCAACCGTAGATGGGTTAAGAAGGCGCAGTTTAGCCAAAAGTCGGCACCCACTCAATTGTCTGGTAGCATCCCGGAGAACAGGAAAACACTAGTATTCTCGCCAATCAACAACCTCCTGATACATCAGCCAAGGAAAGCCACCTGGCAGCAAAATGCCGGGTGGGATGGAGTTTGGGACGGTGGCTGTTCCTCGCCTATCAGTCTTCACATAGAAATTAATGAACGGTTTCGTACGATGGAAAGAGGCAGGAATTGACGTCACTCAGGGCATAAGCATTGGGCCAGTGCGGAGGACCTGATGCGGGGAGGGAAGTCGCAGGGAAAGGCACACGGTTCACGGTTCATGGTTCACACGGAGTTCTATCCATGGCCCTTCAATGCAGGTGGTCCTCAACTTGGCTGACATATCCCCCAACTGTATGAGGAATGGGCTCACCACAGTAATAGCAACGGGGTCACGTTCTCAGTATCATTCATGTGCGTAAGTGACACCAAATCAACTGCGCTTTGATGACGGCTCTATTCTATGAATTACAGATTACATACGAATGAAGATATAATCCCTCAGTACCCCCTAAACCGCTTCAATTACCTCCCCACAAGCGATATCAATGTCCTGGATGGTTGGTGAGATGGTCTCGTTGTAGACCCTATGGCCCGCCTTTAGGAAACCAGTCAGCTGCACATCAATCCCAAGTCGCGCAGTCGACGAAAAAAGGAACAAGAGATGAAGTCGGCTCGAAGCCAGTAGAGGTGTTACAAAACTCCCCAATTTTCACCACTTCAGTTGGGTTGCATTGTGCACCAATGCATGTGACGGGATTGCAAACGGCACCAATTCAATGTATAACCCAAAAATGGTTCCAAAGCTGATCACTGCGCTCCCATCATTGCCGGACGCTATGTATATTTCGTGATCCATTGTTTAAACCAGGGTGTTTTACATCTCATCGGACTTCAGGTGCCGTAGCCGCGGCGAAATTCCGGTTCAGGTTCGTTGTATCGGTTCCCGCGCTGGCCCTAGACTCGAATAACCGGATCCACCATCCTGGAGGGTCCAGGGGACGGTGGCCGCCATGTAGAGACGGATAGACATCATTGAAGAAATACCAGATATGACCGACGACCACCCCACAAATCTCGTCTTTAGGTACAATGCCGTGGACGACCAGGCTGAACGCCATCAACACCCAGGGAAGATACGGCGCTGTGAAAACCAGGATACCGAGGAAGCTGAGACGGGTGTCAGGGTTACGGCGACCCCAAATATACACCAGACTGGAGGAGAGGGCTGTGCCCAGAAATGGAAGCGAGAGGAACGGGGAAAGAAGGAGGAGAGAGGCCATGGCGTAGAAGAGCAACCAAGAGAAACGAGCTGGGGATCGACCGGACGATTCTTCGAGAAGGCGCGAATACCGCTGTAGGAAGAAGACATGGAATAGTAGGTCTAGACTAAGGGGTCCGAAGTAGAGAAAGGTCGTAAGAAGTCGCCAGTACTGAGACACTGTCAGTGTCTTGCGCTCACCTCTTTATATTACCGGCCAAGCTCGCAAGTGATATACATACCTGGGACTTGACATAGACCGCGCGAAAGCTGTAAAATAGCTGAAAGGGGGTCAAGATATGACACTGGACTAGTACAGATGTAGTTATAGTGGCTACTGTCCACCAGCGCGTCACCGGAGGCATTTCATAGAACCATTGTTCGAGGGGAAACTGCCCTGCTTGGCCCCCATTACCCCAGATGGCGGCCATCACGCCGGAGATTATTAGAGTCGCAGGCCGCCAGACTATTGCAGAATGATCACTGAGAGACAATTGTGAGCGGAGTTGAGCAGTAGGCAGGACGATGTGGACAGCGATAGCTATCAAGATGATCAACGGTCGGCTGCGGAACAGACACCGTTATATCCCGGCACTATGCAAGGCGGAGACAAAGAGCTCCAGGTGGCCTTTTCCACTTTAAAGGCGGTGACATCCGTCACTATAAATCACGTGTGTTCCTTGGACGACAGCCGCGCGCTTGGGCGGGGAAAAGACACGCTACGCGTTAATCCGAACGGCTGGGCAAAGCAGCGCATAGGTAACAGAGCCAAAGTCGGCTATCGAGTGCTCCCAACCACCCAATTTCCCTACTTGTGGACCTTTCTGGAGCAGTGAACCCCTCCTAACAAGGCTGGGCCTTTCCACGGCTGTTGTCTCACACAATTGGGTGCTCAGAGGGGTTGCGCCTTAAGCCAAAAGAATTCAAAAGTTCTTGTCCCGAGTTTTAGCATACATTCGGCGCAAAAACAAACAACCTGAAAGGGAGACAGTGTCGCATGGAAATCCGCACCTGTACAGTTGCCCCTCACGTACCAACTGACTCACTTGTACATTTATCAAATAATTCATTTTTAATCGCGCAAGACTTGTCATCACTATGCCACCGAAGACAGGAAAGGGCCGCAAGGTAACCGCTGTGCCGCGAGCAAAGGCGGACGGTGCCGGAAACGAAACCGCAGCTGCAGGCCCATCTAGTGCAGCTGCAAAAGCTTCCCCTTCAACTAGAGGACGCAAGTCCACTGGAGGTGCTAAAGCGGGGAAGCGACCGGCTGGTCCATCAAGAAAATCAAATGTCCAACGTATGTGTATCTATTAACCCTCTTCATCAAGTTGTCATCTCTAAAAACCACGAACCGTTTATGCTGATATACTTCTAGCTGGAGATCCCACCCCTCAGGGCCGCCATCGCCGTTACAAACCGGGTACTGTTGCCCTCAAAGAAATCCGCAAATATCAACGCTCTTATGACCTCCTTATCCGGAAGCTCCCATTCGCAAGACTTGTGCGTGAGGTTGCATTGGACCTACTCCCCGCAGATGTGGGATCCGAGTTGCGCTGGCAGTCGCAAGCCATCATGGCGCTGCAAGAGGCCGCGGAGGCCTTCCTTGTTCATCTATTCGAAGATACCAACTTATGTGCTCTACACGCAAAGCGAGTGACTATCATGCAGAAGGATATTCAACTTGCTCGGAGAATCCGTGGCGCTTGGGGTGGATTAGGCTGAACGCGCATTTGGCCTTGAGACGCAGTTAAGAGAAACAAGCATCCGGTGGAGAACGCACCTGGAGAGTTTGAATCTCGATCACTATAATTCCGTTGTTGTCTGGTTTTCTACAATCTTGGCATCCTCTATTATATCTGACGGCAATTTCCCTCCGAATCTTGCTAGTTGGTGTATAGGTTGCAGGCGTATGGTCGGTTATGGAGTTATGTCCAGAGCAGGTCTTCTGATTCGGTTTGTGTTGGGACCACCATTGTGATTTATTGTCCATGCCAAGGCTGCAGGATCTGTCAGTGTGATGTGATCCGTGTATAATAGAACATGGGTGTCTGCTGAGAGGATCCCTTCTCGTCTTTTGAGAAGGGTTTTAGGAGAAGTTGTATACTTCCCGGAAACTCATCATCGCATACCTGAACAAAGGAATTCTAATTTTATTGATACGAACCCTAGCAGAACGTTCATGTACATCTCGTAGGTAGTCTACGTAGTGCCCAGTCGGGTACTGATTACTAACCAGCAGGTTCAGGCCAAGGCATCAAGATAAGATACTTTCGGGGCGCATTGGATTGCTATGCGGTATAAAAGTCAATCAGTGCCAGTCAAACCCTGACTACTTACTTACTAGATCAATGCAGAGGAACAACGGAAAATATGCCAGGATTTCCTAAGTTGAGTGTTCTACAAGGACTGACACCCTTAGAAAGGAGATAGCACTCAAAAATGAAACGGCAGAGAAAGGATATAAACCACACCCCTCCCTCATACCAGAGGGCATATTCACAGTGGGCGGAGAAATAAGTTGCATGTATTTTATAACCGATGTGGTAATAGTCTTGGTTATCATAACCCAGGCGCCGGTATGCGGGCCTTTGCAATCGCATCAAGATTTGGATTCAGAACTGCGTGTTTCTTTACACCTGACAAATAACAGTTAATAGGCGTAGACCATATGATTTCACATCAGTACCACTGATTCTAAACCTACGGCGATTGAAATACAAAGGTGGTTCCTCCTCGACAGGAGTATCCAGCTCATAAAGGTTAACGCGGATTGAGTCAAAACTTTCCATAGCTACACAGTCGGTAATTCTGGCAGCTGGTCTCAATTGGCTCGGCTTCTTTGATCTCATCTCCCTAGAAGTCCATTAGTAGTTGCTACATGAGCAATTGGCAGATTGTCACACCTTCTGGATACCCCATTTCATAACTTGAATGCAATCATACCCATGGAAACCATTCCAATATCTGGCATTGTTAATTTTGAAGGTAAAGTAGAATCTTTTGGTTACACATACCCTTTCCTTCGGTCATGGATTTCTCTCTCATACTTCGTCTGACAGATAAAGCCATAATGCTTTCTGGCTACTCGTGACTCAACTAAGACTTTGGTCGCTAAAGGAGATATCTCCCCGAGGAATTTCATCAAAGCGCCTCTAACAACTGCAGTCCACCCATCAATCGGGGCCATGACTTCCATATTTTGAGGAAGAGCATCGCGAGGGTACGGACTTTTGTCCAAATCCCCCAACCAAGAATAGTGCCTTCACTCTTTTCTTAGAGGTCCTCACTTGGTTATCCACAAGAAGATGAATCTCTTGGAGAATTGGTTTAAACAGGTCAACCATCTCCTGTCCGCTTACCCTGAGTCGACCTCGATGAACATGGATAGCGCTGTCATCTGCAATGCCTAGAACAGGTATGATAGAATCCTGGTTCACATCTCCACAGAAAGTTCTCTTTATGACCGTCTCGAAGCGTTGCGTTGCTTCTAGTGTGTCACGATCCCACCCCGGGATTGAGGAGAATCGGCTCTCTAGGAATTTTTCAAATCGCCTATTCAAAAAAGTACTACCAACAGAGTGAGCCATCCTCGGAAGCTTCTTCTTTAAGACGTAGAGTAGGCACCCGTTCAGCAATTGAAAACGTTATGAGATCTACCGTACCACCGCCTGCATCACAGAGAACAACAGTATCGCCAACTTCTAATCCATGAGGATTAGATGCACTCAACGCATGCATTGCAGCAGCTTCGGGCTCAGAGATTAGACGTATTGTGCCATTCCCACCAAAGCCTGCATTCTCTGCACAGCGAAGTGTGGTCATCTTGGCTTTGTCGGGCCACATTGCTGGAACAGTTAGAGCAAACTCCAGGTCAATGCTATCAAACGAAGAGCCAGTCTTGGACTTCAAAATCTCGATGATATGCTTATGCAAACATCGGAGGTAGTCTGTCGCCACATCTTGAGATGAAGAGTGGTATGGCTCGGGGACTCGACGGCAGTCATAGTATTCCAAAGAGAGACGCGAGGCTAAACCAAGCTTCTGATCAGCAGCAAATCCAAGCTTGATCCATTGAATACGGGGCATTCTATCGTAGATCTGGAATCCCCACAAACAAGTCGGCTTAGATTCCCCATACTCATATGCGACTTCAGTCGGCACTTTTTCGCTTGTAATTCAACCGAAAGTAGAGGGACTCTGCGGCCACGGCTTGATAACATGATGTCTCTCCGGCTTGAACAATTGTCAGTGCAAGGACAAAGCGTAGAGACAAAAGTTACTTGCATTACTTGCTGAGGGCACGCAACACTTGAGTAGGTCGTGCCGAAATCCGCAGCCACAACGATTCTATTCCCAGCCGAGGTGTCTCCCATATCGCATGTAATAGATCTCTGCTCTCAATGGATCTGTACATAGAATTGAGTATGACAAAGTGCAGTAGACTGTCTCTCCTTGTACTGATATGTCTGGTTGCGTTGCTTAATGAGGTGAGCTGTAAGACAGTCAATTTGAAACTACCAACAAGTGGAAATAGAGAGTAGTGGAATCGACAGAGAAAGGAAGACGAAATTACTGTGTTGTGTTAGTCAAATAGAAGTGAATATAAAGTACTACAACACTCACTTTCTGTTCTGACCATCACCTCATCTCATGGAATCAGTATAATCACTCGTCCAATAGTTCATCCACTGTATTGCTTCAGATCGACAGTCATCGCTCATCAAGCACCGAGAATCTCAAGACTTTCTTATACTAACCTTGGACATTCCGCTTCGCCTTGCACGATATTCCCTCCCCTGTGCCTTGACTCTTTGTTTTTTTTTTTTTTTATTACGACAGAAAGAACTTGGATGGAAATATCATTTCAATCACAACAGGCTATGATGTATGTATACCCCTCGGTCACAACGTCCTTCGCAAATATTCTGAAGTAATGAACCGTCCTTTAGGGTCAAAATCATCCTTTAGCCGGCAATGTACCAGCCACTACCTCTTCGAGAAACCCGAACCGAGACGAATTCCCGGCACAAAGTGCTTTGAAAAAACTGAAACTAGGTGTAAACGGCATTCACAAGGGTGTGAACTTTGTGAGTCAATGCATTTCGCAGCAAGCTTCCAGGATTGAGCAGATAAAACAACAACTAAAGGACGCACAGCAACGCATCCAGAAGTTGGTGGTTGAACTTCAAACTCAGATACTTAGAACTATGCCTGACTAACAAGCCAGTGATGCGACTATTTCCGAGAAGTTTCTGGTAGCCCGCGATATCATCTGCGAGTGGGTGGAGGGATTTCCTGACATCAAGTCTTTCACCGAAGCTCTATATGAGTCGTCTATCGCCGAGGTATTGATGAGAATCTGTTTACCTTTCCGGGAGAGTTTCAGTTAGAACTCGATCACGCACAAACTGAGGTATTGACAATGATTATCTTCAATATTATTCGAGAACATATACTCGAACCTCTAGTATTCGCCGTGCCGCCAGCGGATCAAGAACTCCTAGGACAGCTTTATGACATGATGTCGATGCTGGAACCGAAAAAAGACTGGCGTGCCCTCAGCCACTGAATACAAGCGATTGCTTATCTTCGTAGATACTAAAAGTATTGATCTCTGGCGGTCAGATACAGTGAGGGCTTACACTGAAACTCAGGTCTACTAAGATAGGATTATTCAACGCTGTTCTGGCTTAGCCGATTGTTTGCATGGCTTTTTCATTTATTTCAGCTATGAGGAAATAGTTGATTTAGACCAAAAGTTTGGAAGGCTTGAGCAACAGATCTTACCACAAATTGCAGCTCTTGCGCTAATATTAAAATGTTCGCCGGAACAAAATCGGTGGGGATGAGATCGAGATTTCGATTGGGCCCAGCCTACAATTGTCTACAAGAGCTATTTGAGTCAGTTCATAATAAAGGATCCCCATACCCACCACACGCTTAACCCTCAGATTGCGAGATTTGCGAATATGCAGGATGATGCGCCTATTGTTGTGGTCCTTCTGGGTTTATATCCGGCCTTGTTTCGCTCGGTCTCTGGAACGCAAAATGATATTCTGATTCAAAAAGCAGTGGTTGTGATCGAAGGATATGAGAGTCTGTCTCCAAACTTGGAAGCAGAGGTTCATTCTCTGGCAGCAAAAGGGTGATATGTGACTCCGATCTTGTGCCTTGCATCTTTCGCTTTTCAAGTTGGAGTGTATTCCCGTAGAGCTGGACATCACCTAGGGAGGTAGAAGAGAAAGGTGTTTTATGCTACAGTTATTGAACTTTGGACCTGCCTTAATCCTATACCTTACTGCTGCTTAACCGATTAACAGATTCCTGACCTCCATCCATCAGGGTCGGGTCCAGACTGCAATGTGTGAGCCGGCGGACACCAGTCGACAAACAACGGCTCTGTAAAGGGCGTGCATGAATCACTTGCTTCATTGGAACCTGGAACGGCTCGGTTTGGCCAAAGTCGTGGAATATACTCCTTGAATACCATGTCTACTACATGATGGAGGGAGTCATGAAATGATGCCTACTATGTCTTCATTGCGCCGTTATACCCTATACACCTCAGACCCTAAATGGTATCATATACTAGACCCAGAAAGTCATATCAGAATAACAAAAGAAAAACAAGAAAAGGAGGATAATAAGAGCCAGGGGCTAGGAGGGCCTTTTCAATGCGGGCGGTAATCCCATCATTACGCGATGGCCCTCTTCGCGGACGCCTTTCGCCTCATCATTCTTTCCTTGCCTCTCCAGAGTCTCTGCCAGCATCTCGTCCGTGACACTGACCCAGAGTCGATCGTTGGCTTTCTTTGCCATGGCACGACCTGCTCGCGCGCTCTTTTCGGCCTGTTCACCGACAACTCCACGGAAATACTTCCAACTCATGAATGTTAGGGTCATGCAAGTAATTTGACTGTTGCTGATTGCCGTGGCTGACTGGAGAGCTTGCTGGAGGAACTGCTTGGTTTGTATGGTTGATTCGGTCTGCACGGTAGCGCATACCAGATAGTAAGCTGCTTGGATATATTTGTTGGGGCTACCCTTGCAAAAGGATTCAACGGTTGCCAGAATGTTGGGGAGCTGAAAGTGTGACGCCTGAGTTGGATCACGAAGTATGAGAACGGTATTGAGGGCTGCAATAAGTGCAATGTCACGCCGGGGGTCATTGCGGGCTGTTTTGCTCGTCGATGGAGATAACGAAAGAAGAGGGGATTGAAAAGCGTCGAGGGCAGCTTTCAGATCGCCAGTTGCTTGTGCAATGGTACCCGCAGCGTACTCCATCAGACATTGAACAGTATCGGGTAGACACTCGCCAAGCTCTTGCGCTTCTTGTTGGAGGTCCTTCAGCGTTTTGCTGGCAAGGTCCCAGTCCGTGCGGCCACAGGCAAGGAACACTTGTTGAAGAAGAAGGTTACAGTACAGCGTCCTGCGCCATTCTACACGCCTATTCGCATTGACCATTGATTCAGTGATGTCCTGTGGCGATTTGAAACTCCCTAGACAACGAAGTTAGCGTTAACCTAACCAAAGCTGACGCGGCGCTTACCCTGTATCATGCGTATCCCCTCCTGGAGGAACTTCTCAGCTTTACGGCCATCGTAGGAGTTCTTGCAGCTGAGCGTGATGGAACTTAAGAAATAGCAAAGCGCATAGAGGTCATGCTGAGGTAGCCAATTAAAGCTCAAGAGCAACGTGCCATTCTGGACCTGAAGGATGTCCCCGGTGTCTATTGACGACGGTCCTGCGGATTTGCCACTTAGAGGAATGGAGAACGACCCATCGGCGCGCCAATTAGGGTCGTTCAATCGCTCGTCCATCAGGTCTTGTAAGTTCTTCAACTTCTGTGACGATTGATTGATGTCATATTCAAGAAGGCTGCAACAAATATCGACCATTTGCACAAGCGTCGTCAGCTGCGGTATATGGCGAAGCTCGTCATTCAGCTGGTGGCTCCGAGCTACCGCCAGGGCGCGCTGAGCCTGTTCAATGGAGTCGAAGCCGGATCCCTGTTGTAGATGTGCAAGGGCCTCGGTGACAGCCGACATGGCCGAAACAGCCTTATCGCCATGGCGGTTGGCCATATTAGCTATCTTGTGTAGGTGTTGCAGGGCTGTAACGGAGTCCTGGTGGGCTGAGGAAGACAGCGAGAGGGATACTCGAAGGAAACGAAATGCATACTCCCAGGCAGAGTGCCGATATCTATGCTAGTCAGCATATGCCCTGTGCATCGTGAGCCTGAAAATCACTCACGCTTCGACATCCTGGATCATCCCATCCACAGCTTTCATTGAGGCCTTAGGGTTTGTCTTGTGTAGCATCCGTGCCAAAAGATGTTGCATGCTGTATTTTAAGTCCAGCATACGGTTCTGCAGCATTGTAAGTAACCAAGAAAACAGCAACGGAATACTGAGTTTAACGCAAAGCGACTTACCCGCTCGCACAAGTCAATCTATCAGCACGATGTTAGCAGCGTGGCCTGATAGTGAGAGTCTAGGGGTTTGACATACGCCTTTACTCAATGCGGTCTCCGCTTCGAGATCATTGTCCGTCTCCTCGAACAGAATGCGCGCATACCTTAATCGCACAAGGGCTTCGACTCGGGGTTGTAATCTCCAGTTCTAACCAGATTCGAAGAATACAGTTAGTCAGAAGTAGGTAAGATCAATATCAGCGAAGCGAATTCCACACCAACCTTCAACACCGCTTCCAAGCAACCAAGACCCGTCGCGACCAACTTATAGTATTCCTCCACTTGCAATTCTTGTTTCAGTAAGGCGACCATAGTTCCGTTACTATGGGCCGCGTTGAGATACTCATCCGCCATCGCCAGGAGGAGGACCTGATAGTCGATGGGGGGCTTTGCTGGTTTTTGGTGTGTCATTTGACCAGCCGGTCGCTGCGCTTGCTTCTTGGACGGCGGCCGTTGGAGTTTCTGCTGTATTTCCGGGGGTGGAGCTGGTATCAAGACTTGGGGGACTGGCCTGGGTGACAGTACCGGGGGGGTTGCCGTAACAGGTGGGGGTCGGACAGTTGGGGGATTCGGTGCAGTCGCGGCGGTAGTTTTGGGCATCGCCTTTGGTGTAACCTTTGGTGTGGGTTTCGGTGTAGGTTTCGGTGTAGGCTTCGGTGTTGTACTTGGTGTAGCACTTGATGTAGCCTGTGGGGGCTTGCCATAAACTTGGTTCCCTTGGTTTGGACTAGCAGCTGTGTAGTACGTTGGTTGCGTTGCGGCGGGGGTAGTGAGTGCAGGGGAGACGCTACTGGCTGCAGCGGTAGAGACCGCAGGTTGTCCACCATATTGAGATGGCCTTTGGGCAAATTGGGAAGGCGATATAGAAGGGAGAGGCGGCGTGTTGAACAAGTCGGATGGGTTCACATATTGCGGTGGTGGCGGCTGTTGTTGTTGCGGTTGCGGCGGCGGTTGAGGTTGAGGTTGAGGTTGTTGATTATAAGTGTGTGCGTAGGCGGGATAGGCCGGGATCATGACCTGAGGATAAACGACTGGCTTGCCATATTGATATGGCGAAACGTTCGAGTGGGCATTATTGTACAGTAGCTGCTGCGGCTGGATGGTCTGCTGGGGTTGAATAGGAGGCTGCTGCAGGTACTGCGAAGGATATTGGCCGTTATGAGGTGGTGGTGGTGGATAGCTCATCGCCCCAGGACGCAGATAATGCTTCGTGGTGATCGCTGCACTCTGCTTCTCCCGGAGTCTATACTTTCGTTCATTTAGAAGTAGAAGTTGGTGATCACCTTTTGGGGAGTGTTTGATCGCGATATTAAATCCGCTTTCCCTTTTGAGGTCGGCTTCGGAGAAACCCCCAAGGCGGTCAGTTTGAAGACAAAGAGTGAAGCCCTATTTATTCTCTCGGTATATACATTCATTGTGAGATCCTTCTCTATTAACCCCCATTCTATAGACAACTGTTTGTATATATAAACGCCCATTAACCTTGTCTAGTATATACCCAAGCTGAACAGGGCGTCAATTGCCGTCCATCCCCGATCAGCACTTCCAAGTGGCTACCCATATATTCACAATGGAGAGATTCGATGTATATTTCTAGACTTCTAGTATAGTCTTTATAAAGAGTTAAGCCAACAAGAAATAGTAATTACACGTTAAGAACAAAAAAGCAAACAGAGAAAAGAGAATATTGAGTCATATGATAACACCGAATCCCAAAGTAGCGCCTCTATACAGTACCTTTGCCATTCCTTTCACGAGGCATAGCCCACCCAACCTTCCTCTCCTGGCGTTCCATGCATTCAGATCATACCAATCGATGCATATAATTGATTTATTGACTGGCTCTGCATACCGGGTTCTAGAATGTCCATCTCGAGAGACGGGGGATCATTAAGAGGAGGGTGTTCGCGGATGGTCCAAGGGCATAACTCGCTGCAGTTGTCCACATCGATCGTATTCTCTGCCGGATGGATCCTCTGCACGGCCCATGCTTGATCCGGGATAGGGGACGTCCCTCCAAGACATCTCTCAGTCCAAAAGAAATATGTAGCTCTTCCGGAATTCTCGTCAATATGACAAGGTTGTTTGCGAGGGCATTTCAACGAAGAATTACAGGAGTTGCAAACGGATATTCGCTGGCAGGAGGCGCAGAAACTATCATACAGTCGGCAAATTGTGGTTTGGCAGACGCTGGAGAGCCAGAGATCAACTGATCGGTGTGCGCATCCAAATCGAGGTGTGATAGACTCTTCCTTCCCTAGCTGCCCTGATCCCGTTGATAGTTGATATTCAGTCTTGATCTTCAACTGGCCATTCTCGTCTAACTCCGGAAATAATTCAATCTTCAACTGTGTAGAGCCATAGTTTTCGGTGCAGGTATGCCAGCAAAATCGTTCCCGGACATCAGTTCCAAATTGCGCAGTCAAGGCTGTTATCGATTTCTGTCGCATCAGCAAGAGTTCAACGAGGTCCATTTTATCTCGGAAAGTTAGCTTTTTGCATGGACACAAGTCAACTATGCCTGCGAGATCCCCGAGTTCACAGGACCGTTCCTCAGGTTTTCGTTTGAGTTCTCGTGAAGAGAACAAACCTCGTGGATGTAGCTTCAGGCATTTCGAACATGCTCGCCACGTGTTGTTTTCTAGAACTTTGACGAACTGCCACCGAGTAGTAACGAAATTGTGCCCATTCCGGTAATGATGGAAGAGTGGTGCGAAATCCCGATTGAAGTGCAGTGACTTGGAGTCCAGGATTGCGCCGGATATTGCAAAGAGACGTTTACACGTCAATGCTAGAGAAGCCTCTGCCAGCACGGGTAGATGAGAAACGATCTCAAGCAGTAGCTCGGTGGGCAATTCGAGGAGGTAACACCGCTTTTGAGAGCCAGGATTTGACCTGTCCGGACTTCGTGACCAAAGATGCATCTTTGTGATAGTCTTAAATCTTTTCCCAGCACGACGAAGACCATATGCCATATCGATGGAAAACCGTGAATCTGGACCATAGACTGTACCGAGAACCAGGGCCTTCTTGAGCTGTTCTCGGATTTTTGAGGGTTTTGTATGGGGATGTGTGTCTGGGGACCGACAGAGACTCATAGGTGAAATGGGAGCCAAATCATCTCCTGCTGTTGCTGGAGTCTCATGGCGTATAATAAGAGGACTGGGAGCGTACCGCGTGACGAAAAGATAACCCTACAAGAAAGTGAGAGGGAGTGCAGAAGGAAGGACGTTTGACCTTGAAGTAGTCCACACGAATGTTCTCGGTTTCGCACGCAAACGGCGCACGGGGTAGGGTCACAGTGTAATGCCTGTGATAAGAAATTACATACCAATTCGGTATTGACTGATCTAGTGCAAGCAAAGTAGAAGAGTCAATATGAGAGCCTGCTGATTGGTACTGTATCAAAACTCCACTGCTAAAACTTTTTTAGGAAGTGGGTGCTAAAGCTGAAGAGGTCTATGATGCTATGTTCCATTCTATAGTTGGTTTCCGCATCCGGCATCAACCTGGTAACCGCAATGAGAATTGCACGCACCTCTCGATTTCCAACCTTAAGAATGTCCATGATTGCAGACAAGGGGTTTGAACCCAGAGTGCTTGCAACCCAGCTAGCCTGACCAGGAAAGAGATACAAACGCCGCCATGCCTCTTGTCAACTGACAACCCTCTTTGGCGCCTCGTGATATCCATGACGTACATCACGAGCTGAGTCATCTGGAGGCTGACTGATCATTGAACATCAAAAGCTATACCCAAGATAGCATAGCGCAGTCACTGGCAACGAGATAAGGTGCTTATGTCATGCATTCCCCTATCGGGCAATGATGCCGAGGCACATGAATCCCGGCGCAAAAGAACCTGTTCGGAATAAAATATATTTGGTACGTACAATTATTGGAAGGGTCTGACATCTCATTGCGTTCGTTTTGCTTTTCTTCTTCTCTTTCTTTCTCCTTTTCTTTATTTTATTTTATTTTATTTTTATTTTTCTCTTTTCCACTGATATCAATTTCTACAAGCGTGGTTGGTTGTGATAAGCCTCGTTGCCCTCAGCCCGTATGGCTTCCGCTGAGACCTCCGCTACTACTCTCTTGACCTCCTTCCCGGTGCCAATCTTACTGTCGGGATTGCTTGTAATGGGCATGCTATCATGGTTGCGCCCAAATGGCCGCGTTTCATTCTTTCACTCAAAAGACAATAACCTAATATTGAAGAAAGTCGGGAAAGGAACTAAACAACAGTTTACCTTGACGGATCTCTGTCGTACTGCCACACCAAAGACATGTCGGCTCAACCCGTTTTTGTTCAACGGCCATCTCCAGACGGCCTGGACTACGGTGAAGTTTGATGACGTTCCTGTATACTATAAACGCTGGATGTTCGAAGCCGATAACCCGATGTTCAGTGGGCATTTCGCGGTGGACTTCGTTGTCCATCCATTCGAAGCTCCCAAAGACAGCCAACTGACGGATCGGGAGAGAAAATACACTCAACCATCGGGTTTACCGGAAAGGACAGCGTTCTTCGCGGCAGATGAATTTGAAGCGCTTCCTTCAAATGATACGAAACCCATGCTTGTTATTCTCCATGGCTTGAGTGGGGGGTCACACGAGATTTATCTACGCCACGTCGTGGCACCCCTCATTGCTGATGGGGAATGGGAGGCCTGTGTTATCAATTCTAGGGGCTGTGCTCAAACCAAGATAACCAGCGGCGTGCTATATAATGCTCGTGCCACGTGGGACGTCCGTCAAGCCGTCAAGTGGCTTCGGAAGACATTCCCGAACCGGCCATTGTTTGGGATCGGATTCTCCCTCGGCGCAAATATCCTCACCAATGTAAGTCACCTCTAGCGTAGCTTGCCGGCTGTATCCTGATGGACTGGACTTGTATAGTATTTGGGTGAAGAAGGTGAAGCTTGCCAGTTGAAAGCCGCGGTACTTTGTGCAAGCCCTTGGAACCTAGAAGTAAGCTCCGTGAGCTTGCAAAGCAGCTGGATAGGACTCGAGGTCTACAGTAAAGTGATGGGATCAAACATGAAACGACTTTTTGAACAGTAGGCCGTCCTTCGTATATCTGGACTTACTGCTGGTCGACTAACAGCCAATCTCATTAGTCACGTAGAGGAGGTCTCCAAGAATCCTCGAGTTGATATTGATGCAGTTCGGAGTACTAAATACTTGCATGAGTTCGACCGGTGAGCAGCCACACTATATGATATTATCTCCAGGAGGTTCCTGACTTGTCAATTCGCACTAGGGCTTTGCAATGTGCATCATGGGGTTACCCCACAGAGGGTGCTTACTATCGTGATGCTTCGTCCGTTGATTCGCTGCTTGCTATTAGGATCCCTTTTTTTGCTGTACAAGCTGAGGATGACCCGGTGAGTTCGACACGCTGAATTTTACTACTCTCATGCGCTGACTAGCAACAGATTGCTACCGTCAAAGCACTTCCTTTCCAAGAAATCGAACAAACCCCTTATGGTGTTATGATGACAACGTCCTGGGGTGGGCATCTTGGCTGGTTTGAACTTGGAGGCAGCAGATGGTTTGTGAAGCCAGTAAGTTGTTGTCTACTATTGCTGCTGCTTTCCCACACCTAATACGTTGAACAGGTGACCAATTTCCTAAACCTCATGGCCAAGGAAATCGACCTCAAGACTCCTTTCTTGGTTGAGAACCCCGAGAAAGCTCCAGGCCACGCTGCCAACCATACTAGCAATCTCGATGTAACACCAAAACCGGATTTCAATCCCATGCGTCGCAAACTGGATTTCCAATCGGCACTTTTGAACTAGGCTTATGAAGCAATCGTTCAATCGCAGCTGATAGCTACCGAAGCCGTCGCTCAGTGATGTGAGTTATAAAGCAAGAAGATTGTCATGAGTTGCCATTCATGTCAAAGCATAGACCGGTGGAAACGCCAAACCCCATCTAGATACATAGACTTGGTATAGACAGAAATACTTTTGTACAAAAATTCTCAAGCAAATGAAACGCTTTTCCTCTTTCCTTTCGACTTCGAAGACGACCCGTTAGTTTGAGCTGCTGTAGTATCGGGTTTCGTGTCTTCATTGCTATCACCCTTGCGCTTGCGCTTTTGACGGATCGCTGCCTTGGTCTCCTCCTGTTCGCCGATATTCGTTAGCAACTTATGGCCTCCTTGGAGAAGAAGCACATCTTCGGAGCAATATAACGCACCAATTTATTTTTCTTCTGTGCTTGTCTAGCCTCGGCTTCCTTTCTCTTCGCTTCTCGGATCTCTTCTAACTGACGGGCCTTCTGCAACTTGGACTCAATCTGCCCTTCTTTCTCAGCATTAACCATAGCAAGAATGGTAGCCATTCCCTCCTGCGAAAGCGCATTAGCAACGAGGCGTGCAGACGAGGAACTATGCTGCCCATAGACATACCTGGTCATCAACAAAGACCTTTCCCTTCTTCTTCCCTTTTGGTTTCACCACCCCAACAGGCGTGATTGCATTCAACTTCGGCAGGTCCAATTCCTCCTCCGTATACTCTCTCTTCTTCTTCTTCTTCAACTGGCTTGCTTCGGTGCGCGCCTTCGACTTAACTTCCTTTGGCGGCGGGCGCTTGGCGGCTTTCTTGCTCACTTTCGATGCGGAGGAAAGAGGCTTGCTCTTATTCGAGTCTTTCCCTGAGGGCTTAGCCGAGCCCGGTTTTGCTGCCATTGTTCTTTTAATTTGTTTTATTCGGAGGTATCTATGAGGTTATCGCATGTACGTGGGGATTATGAAAAAGAGACTCGGCGATGAAGACTCGAGACTAAGTCACGCCACAAGCGAGATAGAAGGATAAATTGAACAACCTTGGGAGGGCAACAACAAAAATAGACTACCCCACCAGTGCGATATAAGACTTAATAGTGTAATGGGAAAAGTTTAAAATGAAGAAGAAAAAAAGGAAACGAAAGAATTGAAAGATCCAAGCCCCGTTTCGCAGAGACAGAACGGCGAAGAAATTTTTTGAATTAGGTAGGCGGTGAAAGAATCCCGCCGAGAGCATGCACCGACCTCCACCATCCCATCTCATCGTCACGCTAACCCAAGCCCGAAAGGAACGTCGACTCTCTTTCTCAGCGTCTCTCCCCTCTTCCCCCCTCCCTCTCAGTGTGCCATTGTCAAGTACCCGGCCTGGGGTTACAGACTCACATCCTTCTAAAATGACCATCAATCCTACTTACCTCGCGCAGCGCACGCGCTCCTGTACGTCCACCTTGCTCCCAGCTGGCCCAGCCGGTCCGACCTTTAGAAATTGCCGCGATGTCAATGGACGAAAATGCAAAGCTAACCATCTCACCTCCAACAGCTGTCAACTGGACTGACGCCAAAGCCCGTGTCCTCAAGTCCTACAGAGAATGGCTTAGAGCGGTCAGTGAACCCAATTCTTGTCTCTGCTGGTGTGCTGGCGTGTGTAGTCGTGGGAGGTTCCCGACATTCGATATCACAACTGAACCCAGTCGCTCGACCGAAGATTGTACCGAGTCATTACTTTGAAGTGCGAGAAAACTAACATGGAACCCATTGAACCGAACAGTCCCCCGAGATCCAGACCATGTACTCCCTGAACATGCCCGTATCCGCCATCCGCACCAAGGTCCGCCAGGAGTTCGAGAAGCACCGTTACGTGAAGCAGCTCGGTGCTGTCGATGTCCTGCTATTCCAGAGCCACTCTGAGTACCAGGTTAGTTCAAGTTCGGTCTTTGCTGAGATGCGATGATGCCGAGTGCACGGTTGCACTTGTTCCATCGGAATCATACCATCTTCAGGATCAAGTATACTGATACTTTTCTCTACGCGCTAGGAAACTCTTAACTACTGGAAGCAGCTTTCTCATGTGATGAAGTACTTCCGTCCAGAGGAGGACCCCGGTGCCCGGCTACCCCCTAACTTCATCTCGGGCTTCTTGGAAGGCCGCAATTGAATTGAATTGTTCTTGAGTATCTTTGCATTGAAATCTTTACCTTGGTTCGGGGATTGCACCGATAGAGTGTTATGTAAATATTGTCAGAGTAGCTAACGTCGGATCTGTAAGTTAGCCGGTCCTTGATAGGCGTAGTGTAGGTATAGTAAAGTTACGTGCGAGATCACCCTCAACCATTCTTACGAGTTCCAGCAACCTAACAAATCCGAGAAGATACATGCAGATAGCATTGGACGCTACCATCTAAGGCCCACCCCGTTTACCAGTATCCAGAATTTGTATGCACTACGTTGTCCAAAAAGCCCTACTAAGTGTGAACCATAAGAATGTCATCAAACCCACATGTTCTTGATACATAGCGCATGATATCAATAGTCTATAATAACAATGGCTGAGTTGCTGAAAGGGCATAAATAATGCTGAGCCCAACAGCAAAACTTTTATCTAAGTGTACACAACGCCATACAAACACCGCAGACCGAGTAAATCAGAGCAAATGCAAGTTAGAAAATGGTAATGGTTTTAAGAGCTCATTTTATCAGCCTCGGAGGCATTAAAGGCATCACGAGAGGCGGTAAACTTGTCCGTAACAACATCACACAGATCCATCAGGGAATCCAAGCCCTTCTCCAGTGCTTCCACTGCGTTCGTTGTGTCTGGGTTCCAAAGATTAGCTTTGTTCAAAGAGAAGAGCAAGACCGCAATTCACAAGAGAGGACAGTCGAACATACCATAAGTCTGAATGCGCAGATTCATCTTAGTCTCGGAAGGATGGGGAATAGTATATCCACAGAACTCAACCTGAGGACTTTTCAAGCTGTTAGTAATTCCATATATCTAAACTAGCACGACAGCCAAGAACAACGTCAAACGACAGAATAATAAGCAACAGCGCATACTTCTTCATTATAGCATATCGTAGCGCATTGCCCAATGTATGACCCTCGCCTTCAAACTGAAAAGAAGCCGCTGTCTCGGTAGCTCCGGGAAGCTGTCGTCATATGAATTAGTAACGAACATCTTCGCTTTCTTTAGACGAAATGCGAATATTGAGAGAGACGAACGACAGTGATCCGCTTTTCCTCCAATACCTCCTCTTGCTCAACCTGCTGTTCTTGTTCTTGAGTTGCCGCAGCGGTGGCGTCCATCATGGACTGGTCTTGATCTTGGGAGTGCACGGAGGCAGGCATGGTGTATGTTGTACGTAGGGTTGCACAGGCGGAGAAGCAAATTGCCACTTGAGAAGAAGTTGTGAACTCGGCTTCGGATTTGCTGGTGACGAGGTGCAGCTTAAGATGGGTAGATTTGGATTTCCTGGAACGAGATGCTCAGGCGATTGCGTTGGGCACGGTACCGGGTAGGGGTTTTAATGCACGTTCTCGGGAGGTGGCAGGATTTTGAAATGGCCGCTTTGTTCTACTCCAAGCCTTCTTGCGATTTATTCTTGGTTGTGGTCCCTCAATTGTGAAGCTATCAGAATTGATGCCGAGTCCGTCGCAAAGCGGGAAAAAAAGCGAAAAACGGTTATCGATAGAGAGATTGACCGCCTTCGGTGTCGGAGGTTTTTATTCTTGGCAAAATCACTTTTAGACTCAACAACGGACATCTTTCTTTCAAAGATCTTACTGTGAAATAAGTCAGGTGATTTGTAGGAAGGCAGTCAGACATTGTTATTGAAATTCTTGATGTAGAGACCTCGGTTCTGTGCCGCCATAGTTTACAGTCTTTCGCACACAGGTTGGTTACTCAGAACCGAGTGTACGATATGAAAACCCTCCTTGGCGGTCTAGGTAAGTTCTAGGCACCAGATATAGACGCTTAATTGGGGTAGAGCGATGGGTGGCCTTTGGGTGCTGCTCGTGGCGTCTTGAAGCTAGTATAACGGCTCTGCGAGAAGGACCAAGGAGGCCCTGACATGACAGACCCAAGGAGCTTATCATAGTAGTAGGACTAGAAGTCGAACTCTAAACCTGAGAGGGAATCACGGTGTCGATAGTGATATAAAGACGCCCGGATTTACACATACATAATTTCCCAACCACCCTTAATGGTCCTCGCATATGTCCTCCTGAACCGTCGCCTGCGGTCAAGCTCCATAATATAGCATTCATGATTTATACGGACAGTTCTTTGTCACCACGGGTGGGGGAGTACTATTACGCTTTCCTACATGGATACGACTGACCGTTCAACATCCTAAAAATAGCTCGGGTCGTCCATGAAGAATCGATCGAAATGAAACTTTTGAGGACTTATTTCCCAGGTGTATGTGGATGGAGTAAACAATATCGAACCGCTCGTTGAGAAGGCCACCCAGCTCTCCCAAACACATTGATCTAGGAAGTAATCCGAAAAGTTAATATTGAAATTAAGGCATACCAAACGGACGACGTAAGGAACTGTCCCATACAGCATAAAAGGAGGAGGGAGATGGTGGATAGACATCTAATTAATTCTAGGCAGCTCCCACGAACCTAGGAGTTTATTGCGATCGACTGAGGGCCATCTCGCTTGACGCAAAGACCACCTCCAAGTCCACATGGGAGATAATATTAACAATAGATGAACAGTCCGTGCAGAAACAAGTTTGCCGTTTATATCTATCGTAAATCTCATGGAGTGCGTAATAGTATACGTAGGACGGAGTACACCCCAAGAGATGAGGACGAACAAACTCAACTCTCGCGGATTGAGCCTCGGGGTCCATTCGTTCTCCTGAACCTAGTCAAGTAATAAAACGAGTGAGTAATGCTAATGAAATATTTGATAGATTTGTCGCGAGAACAAGAATCGGGCTAGTTAGCGAGGGTCCTATGACAGGATTGAATTGCCCACGTCATTTCAATCTTTCATCTTTTCACATGAATGTTCCAAGTCGACGGCGAATCAAGGAAAAGATAGTAGTAGGTAGTATCCGGTATGGCATGTATGCAAGTAGCAGGATTTGTGCATCGAGTCAACGTGTTCATGTCATGAACCTGGAACCATAGCGAGAGGGCCAAGTCAGAGTTGATCTGGACCCGACGGGCACATCCACGGAAGCTACTCTGGAGTAGTATAGTAAAATAATAATTTCTGGAGACTCGGGAAGGCAGAAAATTGGAAGACCCATAAACTAGTGGTTCGTGAAATGGCTGGCAGCTCGTTCCTTAAATCTAATTTGCAAGGAGGGCACGTGGGTCCGCCAGCGTGACTTTAACTACGGAACGACTATGGGCGAACTAGTTTCATGGCTCGATAAAAAAAAAATCATCACAATTATAATAATAAGAGTAATTAATTGCACAACAAAATTGATCGCATATGATCGTATTACTTACTCTTTTTCATGTTTTTGAGATGATTACTCATAAAACCAAACCCAACTGGTAGGAAAATTCCCCGCTGTCTCCACCAATATTATTATTATTACTATTATTATTATTTTTATTTTTATTTTTATTTTTTTTCTTTTTACCTCCCCGGGGACGCCATGATGCCACTTACGGTAATCGTGCTAGAGATAAAGTATTAGGCGATCGGGTTTCCATGTCAAGAAATACGCGATGCCACTCTGTGGCACAGGGTTCATGTCAATACAGTTAGACAACAAGCATGTAAGAGTGTTAGTAAAACAGTTTATTGTACAGCTCCTGCCTACTGATACATTAGGAAACATACGAACTCTGTGGCCCCTACTGCAAACTAACTCCAACTTGAATCCACCCCCCCCGACAGGATTTAATCCACGAGTTAGCAATAACCAACGCAGGGATCGATATGATTCTGGCTCCTTAGTCGAAGCGGTCTGTATTTACCCTGGCGGCTGGAATGAGCCCTTATCGAGGAGGCACCACGAGGTAAGATCTCCCCAAATATCATCTTGACCTTCCAAGAGACTCTCGCTTTGTCTTGGCTTGGCGATTTCTCACCATGCATCGGTTAATATTTCTACTTCGTCACTTGGATCGCTAAGAGATATATGTCAGAGATACATTTCCCCATCGCTTTCGGCTCCAGAGTTGGGTTAATAAGGTAGTTTCACAGTGAAATAGTTACATAGCTTACTGGGGCTGGGCAAATGAAGTAGATACAGTAAGTACCAGCCTTGAAATTCGGTACAGCGGAGATACAGGGCCGTGATCAACCAAACCCTGCTTCTTACTTTTGGTTTAGGGGAATTTGACGGTGAAATGAGAGTTGAGCTAATTTCGAACAAGGTCTTGAGTAGATGACCATTACCACGGAACAAAACTGAACGAGGAGCCAGAAAGGAGAAACTAAAGATCAACAATAGAAATATAGAGGAAAAGAGTAACTTGAAGAATGATGATCGATTAATAATGACAGCCCTGAACGTCTAATCTAGGTACTTTGCAGCCGCTCAGGCCTTTTAACTAGACTCCCTGTCAACCCAAGGATAGGCAAGCCGATCCCATCGTAATGGGGACGAATACGGAGGGATCGGAGGTTAATCCAGGGGCGATCGTAGTAATTTGTTGAGGATCTTTGAAGAGACATGTAAGTGATGACGAGGCAGGCCAGATCATTGATGACCGGTATGGGAGAAGGATGATGGAGAAAAAAAAATCTTTTTTCCCTCTTTCCCCATCTGCCTAGGTAACTGCTAAGACACTCCGGCATTCGATGCTACATAATAGATTGACCGATACTTAGGCCTGGAGCAAATGGGGCTATATTCTCATACTCTCAATGTGACTGTTGACCTGTCTGGGCATGTCACAATGTGACGCCCACAAGCCAGGACGATCCACTTTCCGCGTGATAATCGGGAGACAAAGCAGATCGTGGGAGCTGGTATTAATATAGCCAATGTTTGGTGGTACTGCGGTACTTTGTAACTCCAGACTGCCGGAAGATGTGCCGTCTTCCTGTCTTAGGTAGTTATTTGTTGGCTGATCGCGGCCTAGTCCGTATGATACAAAGTTGAACCTTTTTATTTATTTTTATTCTTTTCTCTCCCCCTTTCTCTTCCTCTCATGTCATTGAGTTTGGTAGGGTTGGAGGTGAAGAAGATAAACCGGAAAAGGTCAAAAGCTATGGAACTGGACAAAAACAAAGGTCAAAAGAACGTGGAAGAAATGTGACCCATCACATCTGTATGAAATAAAAGGAAATAGAATAGATCGCAAATGATATAGTTCCCGGGTTGTCAATATAAAGAGAGAAAAAGAAAATAGTCTCCATGTCAGCCAGTCCGCTCCCAGGTACTAGGTAGATGGACTCGTAGTACATACATACATACATGCCCATGAGCAGTTGCAAGGGCCATGAGGGGAAGGAGCACAGCACTCCCTCGGAGATAAGTTACAAACAGCTTTCCTGGAACAGGAAGGGGACTATTGTTTCCACCAGTTTGGCGCAGGTGGATAACAATCGAGTTGGTGAGGGACGCTTGTGTCGCAGATTCTTTGGGTGCCACTGGAGGCCAATAGTTCGAAGGGGGTGTTTGCTTGGTTTGGCTTGGTTTCATTCCGTTCTGGTATTAAAGTTTGCTGTTATTATTACCTGACACAGAGAGATTCTGAATCGTGTCTGACTACAAGCCATGTCACACCTTGTTATTTATTTATTTATTTGTTTATTTATTCACTTTTTTTTTAGAGGGGGGGGGGAAAAGATGCAGGAAGGGGGATGGAGGAAGAGATTTCAACCTTTGTTTCATAGGCAAGTATTAACAAGGCTCATATCTATCCGATAGAATAAAATCTTCTCAGACGCATCAGGATAGTATTTGGTACAGAAGGTATGGTCGTAATATCACGTTCTCTAACAATTAAGCGCCAGCAGTTTTGAATCACCGACCTCTGGGAACGGGTCGCAAGGGAAGAGCCCCTACATTAGCTGAAAGTAGCCTAGCGGGGGGAAGTTGTCAGCTGGTTGATTACATAGATGGGAAAGGCTTTTTTTTTTTTTTTTTTGGGGATTTTTGCCTTTTGGAATCCTTCGTTTCTTTTCAAACATCATAGAGTACTTTTTCGTTAATTTTATTTGATTTTAAGATGTTGATTGCCTTAGTATGTGTTGAATATAGGATTAATCAAGAATGATTTACAATATATTGGTATATACGATATGGTCACTGATTGCTTGCTTTACCCAAGGTACTACTAGTACTACATGTACATAGTACTGGTGGTACAGACAATGAGACCACCAGCACGCAGCATCATCCGCACTAGAGAAATTGTCACAGAAGTGTCAGATCATCAGCGGATGAGCCCTCACCAGAAACAAACCATGTCTCAGCCTCTACCAATGAGCTCGGACCCTCTCCACTGCACATTTGAGGGTTCAGGAGTTTGATGATTATTACCCTATGGGAGGGTCGATAAGAGAATCTTTTGTAATATTATCTTTCATTATAATTAATTTTTTTTTTATTAATTCAATTTCCTGATCTCTTATTTATTATTTTTATTTTTAATTTTCTAGTTTTCACATCCTTCCAATACATGTTACAAGAAAGTTGTTGTTCCAAATGTATGTATATTCCTACTAGTAGTACTCATCTTGGAGCAGTTCCAATGTTCTCTTCCTCCCTCCCTCCCCCCACATCCGAGCTCCATACATGACTTGTCTTGAATCTCTTGTCTTTTGCTCCGGTTTTGACCCAATCAATACCATACATACAGCTTTCTCTCTCTCTCTCTCTCTCTCTCTCTCTCTCTCTCTCGTTTGGTCTCATTTTGGTGGGCTTTTCCTTTTTTCCTATTTTCTTTCTCTTGGTTTATTACCATTAAGATTATAATCACACTAAAGTGTGGTACCGTTTGGAATTACTACCGTTTCTCAACCCTGATTGATTGACGTGAATTTCTCCTCCCCAGTTCTTTGTCCCACTGGTCGTTTCTTTCTCTACTTTGCCCATACAGTCTGGAAAACCTACTAAATAATCATCATCATATCCGCTCTACTACTACTGCTACTACACCCCTCTTCCTCTTCCTCTTTTTCTTCTCCTTCCCTCTCTTTTCCTTTCTCCTCCTCCCTCCCGTTCCCCTCTCTTTTCTTTTCTTTTCTTTTCTTTTTTTCTTTATTTCATTTCCATAATTCTACCTAAAGGAGCTGAACTTGCCCTGTACACCTCCCTTTTTAGGTCACTTGCGTATCGCTGGGCCAGCCTTGTCGAACATCCCAGTCCATTCCCTTCGCTTGCTTGTTCTGGATCGTTCTTCCGCTCCAACCGACCTCTCAGAGTCGCCGCACTGCCGCCCAGCTACTGCCGTTAGTTAACCGCTGTTCCCAAGCATCCGGCCACACCTCGTCACAGTTTCACCCTCGAACTGCTCGACCAACAGCTGCTAGTGTGCCACATTTTTTTTTGTTGGCTCCCTGCCCTTCTCTCCACACCTACCCTCCTTCCTCTTGTCGCCGTGGGCGATTCATCGTCGCTGTCTTGGTTTCGGTTCCTAGAGCCTTCGCCCCCTCCCCTCGATTTCACAGCTCTATCGTTCTCAGAACCATAGCCGCCGACACTGCCGAGCTTGGAGGTTTGCGCGCTATTTGGTTCGACCTCATCCTACGCTGTCAATAGCCGGGCGCCTGACACAATAAAGCTTGATACCTGGCCCGCAACGCTTCGCTGGGCGTTCTAGAGCATCTGATAGACCGTGGGTGGCACAGTCGTCCCAGCTATAAGAGTCTTTGTGGTTTATATACAGAATAAGGCGTGAGTTGAATGCAGTGTTAAAAAGTGGGGAGTTGTGGATTTTCAACATCGATCGGATACCCTCAGATCTTTCCGGTATATAATTTCGCATTCCTTTTGCGAATATGTCTACTGCAGTTGCGCCTGCCACAGCTGCCCCGTTAACATCTTCGCACATGAATCGTGATCCGAGTCCCAAAAATTGCCCAACGTTGGCACCCACAGCTGGTAGCCATTCTACCTCCACTCCGCCCCGGCCTTCGGGACCTTCTCGGGATGGGTCGTCCTCAAAGAGCTCGCCCGCGGGAAGAAAACAAACGTCGCCTGCGTAAGTATCTTCCTAGGACGCAGAATAATCACCTGAGCAATTGAAAAGCTGACGGTTGACCAGATCGCAAAATGGAAGTGCTGCCCCTAAGGTTATCGTCAAGAAAGAGCCCCCTTCTTCGCCTGCCATGCAATCCCACTCTCGACCTCGCCCGCGGAAATTAGACCTATCAACGAGTCTTCCAACCTCCGGGGGTTTATCAGCCCGCCCTCCTGGTGGTCCTATGACGGCCCGGGAGGGTGTCAGTATGCACCAGGTTGGAATCGCTTGCCTATCGCCGGGTTTCCAGACGCATGATCCAATTATGAGAGAACAGTTGCAGAGAAGTCTGTCAGTGAGAGACCAGCAGAGGTCAATAATTGAATCACGGTTGCAAAGGTCAGCCAAGGATGACGGCCCAGACGGAATAAAACCATCTGAATCCTCCTTCGGTCTCCCCAAAGCCAGTGCTTCGAAGCGGAGGCCTCCCCCAGGTCTCTCTATCGTTCCGCCATCTGCAGCGCAATTTGCCAATGAACGTGTCATCCAATCCGCGCCATTGAATCAGACCTTTACCAGCAGACACCAACTACAGCCGTTGACACGCCAAGTTGCCAATCAGAGTCCTACATTGGGGTCGACATCTCATCTTCATCATATCCCTGTTACTCAAACGAACAATCGGCTTCCTCCGCTTTCCGATGTTTTCGGCTCTGACGCTTTGGGCTCCCGTGAGCAGAACGCAAACCGTGCGCCGTTTTACCAGAACGCATCTAATCCCAACTCTTCCCAGTCAAACAACCTGCCGCCGTTACCGTCTCCTAGAATTCCAGGAACCGCCACCCAGGTACCCAAGCGGCCACGGGAATACCGTTCGGCAGAGGAGGCTGTTCAAGAGCTGTCGGGTGGACGGGAGGACCTGCTGCCACGTATCGTGCACTATGGGGGCCATCAGCCCCCGACTCCACCATCCCCACGTGCCGTCAATGGCCAACCTAAGTCCGCAGCAGTTCACCCAGAAGCGGCTCCGGTACCCAATGCCCAGGTTCCCCCCTCCCAACCTATGTACCCCTCTGAGAGGACCGCTCGTCGCCGCACTAGAAGTGAGTACGAGCAAGACAACGGAAGTCCTCCCTTAGGCCACGGTCCTGAACCACAGTATCGGCCAAACCCAGCGTTGGCACCCGGAACAGGAGCTAGCTATGGCCCATTCGGAGCCGGCAGAGACTCGCCTGAGTCCCAGCGGAGAAAGAAAGAAGAGTTTTTGGCACTATGTGCAAGAGCATGGGATCTGTTTCATTCATAAATTTCTTGTTAATCACGGCCAATCTTCTTCAGTACCCTTCAAAACCGTCCAGTTATAGTTTATGTCCAGCAACTCAGACGGGAGATCATTTTCCTACTCGTCTGTTGTGTCCACAACAACGTGAGACTCATAGTTTGATGACTGGCCACTAGCGGATATTTTAACAACCGCTCGGATGTATCTTTATAATGGGCGGTGTCAGCCACCTGGACATGATGAATATGCATGACTATCTATACGAACAGCAAGAACAGGATGCCATCCTAACTGGTGGAGGGTTAGGTTGTTTTTGACGTTGCCCTTACATTGTGATTTGATATTTTCATTTTCATCGCTCTTACCATCCACTTTATTCTTTTCCTTCTTGTGCTATTTCTTTTTATTCGTTTTCACGTTTATACCATCAAAGTCTGAATTGAAAGGTGCTTTGAATGTGCACCATTTCGATGGACTTGCGAGGCGTTTCCTTGTGATTAATTAGGGTTTCTTTTGATTTGCCAAGACCATGTGAGAACCATATTGATGCCTGTTTTTAAAGGCATGATTTTCCTTCCTGCCATTCGCGCTCTTTACATTGCTTTATTTCTCATGTCGCGTTGGGATACCATTGCTTTGATCGTTCTACTATTCTGACTTCACATCCCCTTTTTGGATGATTTATGCTTTTACATTCTTTATGATCCCCATTCTCCGCTTGGATATCTTGAATTTACGACTAGGTGTCGGATTTGGAACGAGGTCGTGCGAACTTCCGGCAAGGACATGTGTCCTTCCACTTAATGATAACTAATACCGTGGTGTTGTCTAAAAGCGAAACTGTAACTACACTTGCTGCTTTAAGCGATGTACAGGCCAGTTGGTGCGTAGCCGTTTATATACATGTACATAGAGGTACATACAACCCGGAGTTGCAGAGCGTAAACAGAACAAAGCTGAGTCTTGCCAAAGGGTGTAGCAGGTGAACAACTAATTTTATTATACGAGAGTACATAAACATAACTTCAGTGACGCCATCAGAATTGTCTCACGCCATCCGCCGCCGCTTCCTGCCACCGTCATCGTTGCCTTCACCACCTAATCTGCGTTCCATGGGCATCTCTTTCCTTTCCTTGGAGGCAATCTTCTTCCGTCTCCGTTCGAGGGCCTTCGTGCGTTCCTTAGAATTCATATTCTCGTATTTCTTGAGCATTACTTGCTTCTTGAGGTCGGACTTCTTCAAAAAGTATGGGTTGCTTTTCTTTCCTTCGCGGATGAGCTGTTTCTCTCGTTTCTTATGCTCTGCCAGAACCTCTTCTTCCCGTCTCCTATTCTCGATTGCACGGAGACGATCCGACGTGGACCGAATCTCACGCTTCAGAGCTTCCTTCTCCTCGGCGTTCTTTGTTTTGCCGAATTTCGCCTTTAACTCTTTCAGCTCTGAAGAACGATAATCGTCTAGGAACGAGTATGCCTTCCTGGCCGATTCAGCATTATGGTGACCGCCTTGACTGAGCACCGTCGGATCAAATCGTGGGTCTCGCGATTTGGGTATCGATGGAGGTTCCACAACAGTGCGCTTGCGCGAAACGGCACGTTTAGATGATTGAACCATGGGGGCATGTTTTGAAGTCCTTGCAGGTTTCGCCGATTCCTTGGATTTTCCCGACTCTTGACGCTTTTGCTCCCGTGCCTCGCGGATTCGCGCTCTGATGTCGTCTAGCGGTGACGTCGTCTGCGGGGATTCTTCTGTAGGTTTGGCAGTTTTTGCATTGCGCTTGCCTTTCGGACCGAGGGATGCTTGAGCTTTGGCGAGGGCCCCAAAGGATATGCTACTAAGGGATGCTTGGACATCCTCCTGTCCATTATCGTTGTCTTCGCTGTCTTCTGAGTCAACAGGCTCGTCGTGTTCAGACTATTGCAAAAGTCAGAATATCGTCATGAAGGCCAAAAAGCAGGAACTTTAAAACGAACGTTGTCATCAGTTTCCTCCAATGCTGCGTCGTCATAATCGTCTGAATCTGAATCTGATTCACCTGAGCGTCCATCATCACTTTTTTCTTCAGATGCTGATTCTTCCGAATAGATCTCTTCGTCTTCCTCCGGCAAAGCTCGCACGCGACGGTTGAGGAGATCCGAGATCGCCATTTTGCTAGCAATTATATCCGATTATTAATACTGTCCAAAAGAAAGGGAGAAAGAGCGAAGGACAAAAGCAACCAATGTATCAATAGAAGCCCAATCAATGGCGGTGAAGGCGGAGCAAAAAAAAATGAAGCGATGCTGCCGGACATTTAAGGCGGTGGGAGAAGCAGCTTCGCTCTAGTTGGTGGATCTGGACCGTTTGGCCGCGATTTTGCCTTTCGCCATCAGTTTCATCGCATTCTCGTTTGCTCCCTTAGACACTTTACTGTTGGTCTATCACCTCATTTGTGAGCCCATGGGATGCCGCTCATGTACGGCCACCTTTTCTCATATTCTCACTCCAGCTCTACCCCCCTCTTTGATTATAGTGCATGATCGCATGTTTCAAGGCGGGGCTTCCTATAAGGTGCATCGGCGTATTCCTTGTCTTGTCCGATGAAGAACTGACCTCTATAGGTTATCCCAAAGTTTGTTGCAGCACCATTCTCTACATCAGCATTGCTTTCACGCTTGTACCCTCGGAAGAAACAACCACCGGCTTTGGTCGATATCGAAAGACCTCCCGACCTTGGAATGGAGCAACGGACAGCTGAAGGAGACAATTGGCCTACTATTGCAGAGAATGGATCGGGCTACGGTGAAACCCAGGGAGATGCAAATAACAATCTTAGGGCATCATGGAGACCGTATCGAGGTCGCTGGAATGCCAAGACGGTAACTCGCAATGACCCGGGAAGAGCAGCGTCCCAGGCCCCTGAGAAAGCTACGTCTGGCAACCCGCGGAGGAGTCATAGGCTGCGCAATCAGGTATCGGCGGACAGAAGTATGAGCTCAGACACACACGTGCATCAATATCGTCAAGAAGGACCGTTTCCTGCTCGCCCAGCACCGTCTCCCTCGCAGTCATATTCTTCACAGAGCAATACACACATGGGAGGGAGCAACGACGGTTTTAGAAGTCGCCCAAATTTCAATATGCCCATTTTTCCTGGAGGTCCAAGTGGAATGGCTGCCTTCAATGAACAAGCACTTCAATTTCCGTTCTTTTCTCCAAATACTGCTAATCAGCAGTCACAATCTCAGCCTTCCGATCAACCTGCGTTCAGATCGCTTAACACTGCCTTGCCGAATGACATGAGTAATCCCCTGAATTTCTTCGCCCTCATGCCTCCGCCTCCTTTCATGATGAACTTTGGTATACAAAATCCGGCGACGGCAGGACCCCTCTTAAGTGGCTTTCCGCCCTTACCGTTTGATACAATGGCCTTTACAGCAGCTGGTTCTGCTGGGGGCAACATCTCAGATGTGCTTAGTCAAGCACCTGTTGGAGCATCGGCAACGAAGGACGTAGCTTCGCCGCCACCTAAGCCTCCATCCCCCGTCAAATTATACATCGAGCAGTCGTCCTTACCACCCAAATTGGTCACTTCTCCCCAGCCACTGTTGGTCATCCTGGACTTGAATGGCACGCTGATCTACCGCAAGCACCGGCGGTTCCCCCCTGTGTTTGCCAGAAGGGCAGGACTGGACGAATTCTTGGATAACCTGGTGAGAAAATACAAGGTTATGATCTGGTCTAGTTCCCAGCCGAACACGGTGAAGGCGGTTTGCGACAGGCTCTTCCCGGGCAGTAAAAGAAAGGCTCTTGTAGCAGAATGGGGTCGTGACAAGTTTGGCCTCACGTCATCACAATATCGGGCCAAAGTTCAAGTTTACAAAACGTTAGAGACGGTATGGAGCGATAAGGCGGTTCAAGCGTCATACCCATCACCTTCTCAGAATAAACGCCGCAAAGCCGCGCAGACTGGCACGCAGTTGAAAACCCGATGGGACCAGTCCAACACCATTCTGATTGACGACAGTAAAGTCAAGGCTCTCAGTGAACCATATAACATACTCGAGATTCCGGAATTTACCAACCAGCGGGGTCTTGATGAATCCACAATATTTCCAAAGGTTATGCAACTCCTAGACGAACTAGCAAAACATGACGATGTCAGCAGAGTTCTCCATCAGTGGAACTTGGAGTTACCCGAAAATCATGGCATTCTTGAGCTTGACCTCGGCCTCAGTTCCAACGAGGACGACCAGAATCACAACAATACTGCCACCGGCGACGCCCACTCTCCACCTTCCCAACAAGACATTCCAACCGAGCCGACAGCTGTGGCGCAAGCCCGCAAAGAAAGACGCAAAAGGCGCAAGGAGCAACGCAAGGCCCGCAAACAGGAGCAGAAGCTAGAGTCAAAAGCGGAAACGAAGACTCGCAAGATAGCACAAAAGGCCTCCCCGAGAGGTCAAGAAGACAAAGCTGCTGCTCCTGCCACTACCCCAGCGGCGACAAGTACCGGTATCTCCTCCGCTGAATCTACAAAAGCCGCCGTGCAACCGACCCTTGAACGGTCACCATCACCTGCGACTTCGTCTGCCGAATCCGAAAATTTTCTCCTAGATCGATTAGAGGATTCTCTGAATGTTAGAACTGACTAAGTCTTGACGGATGTGTGATTTATATGCGTTTATCAGGGACATTATCTTCTAAATTATGCATGTTTAGTACATAGATATATAGATACACTTGCTTACGCAATTTGATACCCACGGCTGGAATAATACGATTGCAATGGAGATCATTTCGGTCATGTACCTATAGCCAGTATAGGGTTCATCCGTATTATATCGTTGACTAGAGTTGAAGTCTCACCAAAGGCTCTGTGTGTATGGAAACGACTTGCCATTCGATCAAAGTCTCAGTTGCAAGACCTATATAGTGATATCGATATATGGCTATAAACTAGATATCGTAACTAAGCTTACTGCATCACTCGTCTATTGCGTATATAGTTTAATCGCTCCGAGGTCTAAGGATAAAGTACCTGTCTACAAAATCAAGACAAACTACATGGGCTCCGGCTATCATCGACCAGTGAATCAAACCGCATGATTCTAGCAATGCAATTTTGTCCAGGACATTGACATGTCTAAGCAGAGGCCAACAAACTACAGTCTATACGTTTTACTGGGGGTTACAGGGTTACAAGGAATATCCCGATGGGATCAGAAGTGATTGAGCACATAAGTGCTATTTAGTGCTAAACTAGGCTAGCTACTGCATCATCCGACATCTCAATTCGTAAGCGTGTCATGATCAAAAGTTTTTCAGAAAGCGTAAACCGTCATGGGCAGTGTGAACATTAGACGGGATATGGATGGGGCGGAGACCTGTACGGGCGGCACGATGCAGAAAACCTGAACCAAAAGTCGTGTTGAATCGTAGTACTCTCCAGCCCTAGGGTATAAGTGATGTGAAGTTTTTTTAGGCCGAATATGAGGAAGGCCACCCAACGATAAGAAATTAGGACGTAACATCATGAATTTGCCACAGGACCTAATGCACTAGCTTATTTGAAGACGTGGCCGTCAGCCCAGGGGTACTCCTTGCCGTCGACGGTGACAGGGACATCCCAAGCCCACATGTCATCGACGTACTTGCGGTCCTCCTCCTTGGAGGGGTCAAGCTTCTCGAAGTCGTAGCTCTCCCAATCGGGGGCGACATCGAAGGCAGGCTTGAACTCCTGACCACGGACCAGGAAGACACCGCGGATGACACAGTTGTAGTTGGTGCCGTAGACAGACTGAGCACCGAACAGGTACTTGCGGGAAGCCTCAAGACGAGCGTGGAAACCACCGATCAGGTTGTTGGCCATGAAGGTGAGCTTGAGCTCCTCGTTGTACTTGTAGTCAACCTTCCACAGGGAGTACTCCTCGGCCTTGAAGTTCTGCCAGAACCAAGGGAGAGCAACGGGACGGGTATCCTCGTTGGAGTAGGTACGCTTGAGGTCATCGAGGATGAAATCGGGCTTGCCAAGAGCCTCAAGTGGGTGCTTGGGCTTCTTCTGCTCACCCTCAGGCTTGGGCTCGGCAGCAGGCGCAGGAGCAGCCTCCTTCTTGGGCTTCTCCTCCTTCTTGGGAGGAGTGTACTTGATGACCTCATCAACAAGAACAGGGTTCTCAACAACAGCCTTGAAGTAGGGCTGGTTGACAATAGTCTGGAACCAACGAGTGACAGCAGGGTTCTCAGAACGGAACTTCTTGTCCAAAACGGTGGCGAAGGCACGGGTGATGAGAGAGGCGGCGAAGATATCAGCCAAGGTGATACGCTCGCCAACGAGAAAGGTGTTGACAGTTAGGTGCTTCTCCAAAACGGAGATGTTCTTCAGAGCAGCCTTGGAAGCTTCCTCAACATTCTTCTTGTTGTAGCCGTCCAAGCCCAAGAGGGGACGGTACCAAGCGCCGAGGCGGGGGAGAACCTCCGCGTTGACGAAGGACAACCAGCGGAGGATGGAAGCGTAGTCCTGCTTGGTCTTACCCAAGAGGGTGGTCTTCTCATTCTGGGAGGTCACTGAGCCATAATTAGCCATGTTCAGGAAATGTACAACTCTCAAAGCACTAAGATCTCGAAAAGGCGCCACGAAAGAGATTGCCCAACATATGCGGGGTAATCGAAGAAATTTTCAGAGTTTGGTTCATCAACACTGTTGTTCTGCCAGGGATAACTAGTTTATTTGGAATAATATCGCTCATCATATCAAGCGGCGGTAAAGCAGGATAGAATAATACTAGAGGGAAGGAAGCCTCTCACACAAAACACGTACCGTAGACAGCAATGGCAATGGCCTCGGAGAGAGTGTAACCATTGGCACCCTCGAAAGCAGGGATCTTGCCAAGGGGGCTGAGCTTGGTGTACTCAGCAGACTTGTTGAACTCGGCCTCGGCGTTGGCCTCAGTCTGCACCAGCTCGAGCTCAACGTCGTTGGCCTTAGCCGCGACGAGGGCAGCGATGGTGCGACCGTTGTTCTGTGTAGAGTCACCTATTAGCCGGGCGTTCCCCAAGGTAACCCCCACGACGATCGGATCGTCAGAAAAGTATCATCGGTTTAGATGATGACTGAGAGGAAGCCGAAGAGAAAAAAACTAAGAGCACATACAGGCTGACCGTAAATCTTTCCGAAGGCCATTGTGAAAGCTGTTGTCTTTGGAAGGACTGGGGGAGGAAGGGAAAAAGAAAAGAGAAAAAGGAGGGGGGAAGGGAAGCAGCTCGAGGGGTATAAGAACGAAATTTTGTGCGAATCAGACGGAGCCGTCGGCGCCGGAGGAACATTTGCTCGTCCACGTGACGTGGTCCCCATCGAAAAACCTCAGGAACAAGAATCGCTGGAGACGGTATATCGCATCTGGCCGGCGATCCCAAGTCCTCCTCTGCGCTGCTTTTTCTCTCTTCCTACCCTCTTAGTCTCAGACAAAGCTTCCGCCAGCCGGAGGCAGCTTTACTATGGCCTGGCAGAGCCCCAATTGCATCGTGAACGCGATGCAGTCTGTCCGTCGGACAGTTCAATTGCGATCTTTCCTCCATACTCCCAAGATCTCCCTTCGTTCTAATGTTCCCTCGATCCTCTCACAACAAAGAAAAAATGCTCGTGGATATGCGACGGAGGTGCAAGCGGCACCCGAGATCGACTTTGAAAAGTTCTATACCCAACCCGCCCGGATTGTTCCTGCATCACCCGCCTACTTCTCCGGCAGTCCCAAATTCATCGACCACCTGCTGAACTTGGAGACTATTCTAGCAAAATGGGCTTCATTACCGACTGTTGCTCCTAGTGAAGCTCCCCGCATGGCCTGGTTCAAACTGGCACAATTCCGCGACTTTGTCGGCGAGCCTGTGCCGACGAAGAAATATAAGAACCTTATTAAAATCTTACAACGACTAAATAGAATTGACCCGAAGATCATGCCGATTGAAGTGCGCGATACCCTGAAAACTTTCCTTCGTCCGGGAAATCCTTATGGGAATAAGCCGGCGCCAGCGACGGTGGATGAGATGGGTCGGGCCCGTGGTAGAGGGAAGCGAAAGACATCCTCGGCTGTGGTCCATCTGGTTGAAGGAGAGGGAGACGTGATGGTCAACGGGAAGACCCTAGTTGAAGCATTTCCTCGTCTACATGATCGAGAGAGTGCTACATGGCCTTTGAGATGCACATCGAGATTGGACAAGTACAACGTGTGGGCTACTGCCCGCGGAGGAGGAGTTACTGGACAAGCAGAGGCCATTACGTTGGCCTTGGCACGGGCATTGTTGGTCCACGAGCCTGGACTGAAGCCTGTTCTGCGTAAAGGTGCGTATACTATGCGTGTTGCTACCCGATCATTGAATACATTTCTGACTGTCATCTTACAGCCGGTGTTATCACGGTGGATGCGCGTCGTGTGGAGAGAAAGAAGCCTGGTCATGTCAAGGCCCGCAAGATGCCCACCTGGGTCAAGAGGTGATGCAGGCCTATCCCCTGTTGTCTCGGGAGCTTCTTTTCTTCTTTCTCATTCTTCTCCTTGCTGTATTATTCCACTTTCCCTTGTGACCCTCGACGATGTATACTTTTTATTGCACGCATCCCTTCAGATGTCATGGCGGTCGTTTCAAAATACGACACTGCATGGTCTCGGCGACACGCATGTACCCTTAGCTATTGGCGTTAATTCATCTGATTCAATTGAACTATTGGACAAGTGATACTGTTGTACAGAGCCTTCACACAGCTATTGGATGGTCAAGGAAGAACGCCACTGGATCAGCGTGTTTCAGAGCCTGGCCGACTATGCCAAGTCGAACATGGCCACCAGGTTCTGTAGTACAGTGGGAGAACTGCCTTGTGTCATACAACGAATTATTCAGAACATAGAGCACAAACCCGGATGAACATGAAAGGCGAAAGCTGCATGAACCATCCCAAGGCAGCCAGTCTCGTCACCTCTATCGGTCAGATATGGCCCGTTGGGCACTGACGGAGTCTCGTTACACAGTCGAGCCCAAATGCGGTAGTTTCAGTGCGCTATCATGTGGCGGTAAGCCCGGCCAGTCGAGATTCAGTTTCAAAAGGTGTTCGTCTGATGATGTGGGACGAATACGGCCCAGGCGTAGATGCACATTGCAGACATAGGGGTATGCCGGCCATTATCAAATCTGATTAGTGTAGTTACACAGATCCTGCACCAACTCGGGTGAATGAAGCAATCCCGACTATGGACTGCCGAATCAGTTGCCGCGGATGCGCTTCTTTCATTGCGGATAAAAGCGTCTTGACTGCATGGTTGAAGCTTCGATCGGTGATGACTCTTCTTGGGGGGGAGAGGGAGGCACGTCTATCGGCACAGGCAGGGCGACCGAAAAATTCCTCTGTCACGCATGCCCTGAGCACAGACAGAACTTCGTAGCCAAGCATGGGAGCTGACATTCATGTTACTCAGACGAGTCAGCCATCACTTTGCCACGCTGTAGACGCGTGAAAGCCAGGTTTTATACACCTTGCGCTTATACAAAGCCCCCAATCATTCAAGAGAGCAATACAGAGGGATTGTATGATTTACTTACAGCACCACCAGTCACTGTGTCAAAGCGTCATAATAAGGATGACCGGAAACTCTTTTGATTTAGATACGGTCCGAATTTGTAAATACTGACAGACGGCAAATCAGAACAGCCTGTCTTGTCTGATGCTGGAATGCGTTATCGCGAGACAAACTGGCAGATAACTCTGGAGTTGATGATCCATGAACTCAGATGATATAGGCCTCAAGGGTTAGCACTACTAGTATTTAGCAAGATCTGCTAGCCAAGTAGAAATTTGCAGATTGGATGACATCTAGAAATAAATGTAGCTTAATAGAAGAGACAAGGCTGTGCCAGCGATTATGAGAACGGTTCGAACAATGGTTGGCCAAGCCCGGGGTAATAAACAATTCTTTATTGTACCTGGTGGTCACCAACGACAGGGATGCTGGTTTGACGTCCATTGATCCCGAACAATAGACGCAATCTCAAGAACTATGACGAGGGTCTTCCCTGGAGTTCATCAAACACGAGTGGTGGGCGAACGGCTTCTAGAGGATTGATGGAGCAGTCGGGATGGTAGGTAGATACGTCCATACAAGATGAACCATCTTCATGCGCTGTAGCTTATGAGGATAGTCATGTGGTCCAGGGCCGTCGAATTGGAAGGAGCCGCTGAATTTCAAGGTTACGTGCAGCAGCAGCAGACCTTTTATAGTATACCGTACTACGTGATACACTATACAGATATTTCATATTTGGTAATATATACATACATAGAGATATGCGGAGAGACAGTCAAGTTTTACTATCGTCCAGATCAAATGACAATTATCTCTTTCATTGCTTGTCCTTTCATTGTTACTTACCGGAAGCAACGGGGGTCATGGGATCCCAGCTGTTAGACACTTGCGCGATAACCGCATCGTGACAATGTATATTCAGCTTTTTTTTTTTTTTCTTTGGGGTCACGGGAACCAAGTCTTGGCCAATTATTGAATTAATTGCCCTAAGAAAACAAGGACAAACGAGTCAGTCGTTGCCTGCCTTGGAAAGGAAACAAACGATTTCCAAGGTGGGCAATACTAGTACTATTGGAAGTGGATGATGCTGTACCAGCATACTTCTAAGTGTCCAGGGTGGGTTTAAGTACTGGGTACTCGTAGTACTAGTATTATGTACCATCGACTGTATGTACCATGCGTATCGGGTGTGAATTGGAGCAGCAAAATTGGGGGCAAAGGCGGGTTAGCCATACACCATTAATCAAGACTAATACGCCATCTAAATTTATCTATCCAATTCCAAAACCCGGCCGATCCCGATCATAAATACGTACATATCCACCGGAAATCTTCCGTATAGATCCATTGGTGCAGTCAACATGACGGACATACATCATACATAAATTGGCACGAGCTGGATGGAGCCAAATCCACCATGGGGACCGAAGAAGATTTGAATCAACTGGTATGGCCCAATACAATCGATGGATTTATAAAAGTGTCCATTATGAACTAAGTTAGCGTGAGTCGGAGACCGCGCCTCATTTATTATTATTATTACTATATTATTGTTTTTCTTTTTTTCTTTCTTTTTTTTTTTTTTTTTTTTTTTTTTTTTTTTTTTTTTTTTGATACCATTGAAGGCTGATGAGGGATGTACCTTTCTCCAGTCGTATTCTTTCCAATAAATTAACCCATAGAATAGCGCCGGTTTCGTACCACTTTGCGAGGTTTAGTTTTCATAGGAAGCTACTCAGAATTAGAGCATAGCACATGACATCATTGAAGACCATTGTAAACTCGTTTCTCCCCTT